GTAACACTTTGAGCAGCTAAGTGTTTAGACTTCGTGTGCCTATTAAAAATTTTGAGTGTATAATAAAATTATATTTAAGACTAGCCAAGCGCTCCTTGAGTACTAGTTAAATTTTGTCAGTGCTCGTTAAATATTTGATATTGATGAAATGTCACAGAAGCTGAGCTGACTTTATGTAAATGTAAATTAAAAGTCTCCGGAATGCCACGTCTACTTTTTCGTAAGCCCACACAGATGGGGTAGAAGAAATGCAGCGTTGCCACCTGGCAGCACTTAGGCTTATAGTTTGCTGCAAGATTTGAATAAAAGTGATGTCGTAAGCTTAGCTGTTTATACAATCTTGGCTTATGGCGTGGCCAGACTTTCACATTTTAATGGAAAATTAAAAAGACCGAGCCACGTCAACTAGTTGTCAACTGCAATAGGTGTTGAGGCACGAGGGAGTTATGCTTCTTTTTTGTTTTGTTTCTCACGCCCGTTGACAACTTTAACGCTAACATTGACATTTATCGACTGCAGCAGACAACGACAACAACAACAACAACAACAACAATAGCATTGATAAACTGGAAGAAAACGCTGTAGCTCAACAGCTTGGGCAATAAACTGCCCGCTGGCCAGAAATAGGGTCAAAAGGTGCACGAACAAAAAAATGGCACAAAGCATAACAGAAATAGCAACAACAAAAAAATTAGAAGTAGAAAATGTAGTAAACAGGCTAGCACCGACTGCGTAATTCTCGCTCAAATTAAAAAAAAAATGCAACAAAAATTAAAAAAAAAAATTATTGTTTTATAAAGATTTTTCCCATTTGTTGAATTGGATTTTAGAAGTGCCCAAACACATATTCCATATTCACAGATATTTGTGTCCAACCTTTTTTTAGCTAAGCCTAAGTGTTTATAAATTATGTGAAAGACAAAAAAATAATATCAAGCAAGTTGAACTCACTTGGACGCACTTTGCTAAATCTGTACGCTTCGAATTCACAACTAGTTGCAGCTTAGCAGAAGTAGCACGACAAAGAAGCAAGCCAGCTAGAATATATAGCTATATAGAAGCAAGGCCTTCTGTGGGACTTAACATTTGTAGCTGACGAACGCAACTTTTTCAAATATAACTTTGAAAGCTCGAAAAGTCAACAAAATGCTATTATATTATACATTCATGTATGCATAAATATATTGATATTTGCATATTTGAGCCAAATTTAAAGCTAGCTTTCAGATTAAACAGACGCACGAGCCAATACACCCTGCATAAGCTGCTGGGCCAGTATGCAAAAGAGAGCAAACGGAGTAAGCTTATGTGACTATAAAAACTCCGCAAACTTTTTTAAGGCTGCTGCTGGTGTTGCTGTTGCTGCTGGTGACAGGCCAAGTTCTAAAGTGTTGCCATTGCTGTCAACACACACACGCACACATGCCCCATCAGAGGCTGTCTCTCATGCTCTCTTTGGCTCTCTCGAGCGTCTCCATTTGATTTAATGCATTGCAAAAACAACGAGAAAAATAAAAGCAACGAAAGCAAAAGAAAAACACGCGCTGGATTGCATTTTTAAAGCTGCTCCCAATGTCAGGCGCCTACTCTGCCTGCTTTTTGTTCCGTCTTTTGCTCATTGCATGGACCGCTCTGCTTTTTGCGCCCTCAATTGCTGGCTGGCTGGCTGTGGCATAGCTCCGCTCAGTTCCTATTCGCTTTTGGGATCTTTGTTTAAAACTTTGCTGAATGAAACAATTCGATTGCCATTGACGTCCATCTTCATTATGCATGCAATCTCTGCAGCCAAAAACTTGGCCAAATTGAAACAAGACAGCTTGCATCGATAACTGACCGACTACAATATACCCTAGCTCGAGAAGGACAGCAAAGACCTATATTATTTCGTAGACTTTCCACTTTTTCAAAGAGCAAAACTCTTAGCATTATTTTATTGAAGTCTGGAAATTGCAAAACAAATTTCTTCTCGTCAGCTCTTATAGCCTTTCAGTTATAAGAAAAAATCGATAAACATCGATCTCATTGTTCTTCTCTTGCTCTAGTTTCTCACATAAACAAATTACCCGCTTCAAGCATTTTCAATGCGCATAGAAAAAACCTCAACACAAAACCAAAATAGAAAAAAAATGAGCAAAAGTTGCCAGCTAGGGCTTTATTCTGGTATTCATCCAATTTGAAAGGTGGACAACAACAAAAACAGCAACAAGGGCAGCAAAACATGTCACACAGCGAGCGTTGCCAGACAGCTCAACCGATTCAAGAGGAAATGCGTTTAATGCCCTTTCGCCCAGCAAATTGCAATTGGATCTACGCAGCTATAGAGATGAGCGCGTGACTCAAAAGAAAGTAAAACCTAATGCAAGGCTGCAAAAGTCAAAGACTTATCGATTTAAACCTATACAGGCTCATATATCAGCAAAAGCAAATATCAACTGATCGATTTGTTATCGAAATCGAATAGATATATAGACATTATTCACGTTGCACGCGTGACTTAGGCGACGTTTTTTCTTGTGTGTGCAGTGTCAACGACGTTCCATTCCATTTCGTTCCATATTGAAATATTCTGTGACTGCAACCGACTGAGTTTGTGTTTTCAATTTTTACATCATTTTTGCATTGTGTGCAGTTGTCGCAAAAACTTTTCCGCTTTTCCCTCTCCATCTCTCTCTCTCTCTCTCTCTCTCTCCCTCTCTCTTTCTGTGTCTCTGTCTGCTCTTGTTTTTAGCCAGCATATTGTGTAATGAGTTTCGTAGCAACTTTTCGGCGCTTTGTTTGCTTAACTTTTACGTCAACAATTTAGTTTTGTCATTAGCCTTCAACTTAATTATTCGCTCAGGTATTTTGAGAGTTTTTCTGCCTTAATGAATGACAGAATCAGGCAGAAACTTAAACAATGTTATAAAAGGTATCGAAAATGATGAGATTTTCCAAACGATATATATAAGTTTTGATAACTTTTCATCAGTTCCAATATAAAGTATATAGAACTATATAGTATTTCAACATATCTTATTTAAACTCTATTTTTTATGCATATACTCATTAATATAGAGTAAGACTCTACTCAAGATTTCAATTTATAAGCTAGTCAATAGCTAGAGCTCAAATGCAAAAAAAATTCATCAACTTAAAATTTTATATACATAACAGCTTAGCACTTCTTCTTCTTCCTCGTTTCCCCCTAAATATCTAATATGTCTTCAATATGTAGTCTTTTTAGAGCATTGCAAATCGCGTGACACAAATAAAACAAGCCTTTTAGTAGGTCATCAAAAATCAATCTTATCAATTTCATTAATGTGGGCTACAAGGCTCAAACCACACACACAGGCACGCCATACACATACACACACAGACACATAGTCAACAACTCTCATAAAGCTCATAAATGCACAAATCGGCATTTGCATTAGACTGATTAGAGCTGGGGAAAACAACGAGAGCCTAGGAGTGGGGGCGGGCGCGGATGGAGGGCGAGGACGAGCAGCAGGAAAAGAGAAAGAGTTGCCATTGGAACCAGCCAATTACTCAGTCAAATCAAGGGGGCGTGGCAGGCCTTATATTAGGGCCGGGTATGGGAGGAAGCCCGTGCACGTTAATAATCCAACTGCGAATAATCAGGCTAGCTTTTACGCTGCTTATGCAGACATCAGAGCATACAACGTGGGTGGCTTGGACACAAAGGTTGGGTGTCAAGGGTTTGGCGCTAAATTGAAAATTAATTACGTGAACGGAAATGCGCCTGAAGCCACGGTTTGGCAGCTCAGTCGATAGCCATAGCTAAGTCTATGCGCCGCCCTCACTCAGCTCTCAGCTCTATTGCCATCTCGCTTTCTGCCTTGCAATTTTAATGTTAAAACAGTTTCCGAAGTTTGGACAGCTTGTCTGCCACGTTGTGGCGAATGCTTAAGGCAATTGTGCAGCCGACATAAATAAGCAAGCATTGATTGGCTAGTCTGAAGAGTTAATCAAATTTAATAGCACATAAATCGGTCAAGCTATCGATTGATTGCATTGCTGCAATCGATATGATTATCGATATGATCACAAATGATTAATCAAATGTTTCTAGCTATCGATAATGCGATAATTACAATGCCAGCATTGTTGATTACCCATATTAATGTTATCGATAACGCAATAATAAAATATCATTATTTTCAATTAATTAAAAACACTTAGTAAAAATTTTGTTACAGTTATCGATATTCTAGCATTATCAACTAAAGTTATTTAGTGAAATATTTACAGTTATCAGTAAGACGATAATTTTAATGCATTCTCATCCCTAGACAAATAGAAATAGATATCGATAACTGACATTAACACTTTAAAAACCAAAAATGCTTAATAATAATCGATTATCTACATTTAAGAAATAATAATTGAAGATATCGATGATAATTGTAGAGCCAGCATTGTCGATTATTGATTAATGTACACTTATCGATAGCACAAGATTTGCTATTCAAGCTTCATCGATGATCGATATTTGAACATTCAAGCGAAATTATCGCAAACACAATATTGAACGATATTTCTATAGCTATGCGCAATTATCGATAACATGCTTTTAGCACTTTTAACATTACTTATTGACGATATCTAGGCAAATATTGTAGCTATCGAAAAACGATACATTTTCGATACTTCTTAAGAAATGCCAGTTATAATATATATAAAGAAGCATTCTGAAATGCTCGCATTTGTTTATCGATTATAGACGAAAAGTAGTGTTAAATTGATTACACACACACACACATCCATTCACATACAAACACACACACACAGAGCGATGGTCGCTCGCGCACTGATTGCGTTGCTGCTGCATTCAGAAATGTCATTAATCAATGCAGTCCATCAATCAATGAAAGCCAATCGAAACGCTGACCATGTGCTAACCGGCGCAATAAATCTCTTTTGCAGCATCTGATAACAATGTTTTCCCTCATTCTCTCTCTCTCACTCTCTTTTCTCTTTCGCATCATTTGCAGCAGCTGCTCCAAACGGGCGTCTCTCTCATTGTGGACGACGGCAAATCAACGCCGGAGGCAGCTGCAGCCGTGCCTCGTCGACGTCCAGGCGGTGTAGGAGCAGGCGCTGGAGGAGGAAAACGCAAGCGACGTCCGCAACTGCCGCTGGCCACGATGGGCGCCAACGAGGAGGAGGGCGAACCGAATGGCGCCTATTGGCGCGGCCATGTGGAAGATGCTGGAGCTGGACGTCGCAAACAGTTGCCCATACGCGAGCCAATGGCAGCGCTAGAAAGGGAGCGCGAACGTCAACGATTGCGTGCAACGGAAGCGCCCAACTTAGGCGCCAGCAAAGCCTACCGCAGACCCTACGGCCAGGCCAAGAAACAAGACCAGGAGCAGCAGCAGCAGCAACAGCAACATCCGCCAATTGCTGCCACAAGCAGCAGCAAGACGTCTGTAGATCTGAAGAACATTTTGAAGAACTCGGGCGGCCTTAGCCTGAGTGAGATATTGCAGCAGAAGAATCTGTCGCTCGATGATCTGCTCAAGGGCAAGCAAAACGCGCTGCTGGCGCTGCAGACAACAGCGGTGGCGCCAGCTGTCAGCCAGGAGGCCAAAATCGCCGCAGCAGCTACAGCAGCCAGTCACAACAGCAACAGCAACAGCAACAAGCATAGTGTGCGGCGCATACCCGCTGCCTTTCTGGCGCAGGAAGAGGAGCAGCAGCAACAGCAGCTGGAGGATTCACGAGAGGAACTGTTCAAGCCGAAGCCCAATAAGTTGCCAGCATTGCAGCGTTTAAAGCTATTTGGCAGCTCATCTCGCGAGAGCAGCAGCACTAGGCGCATAAGCAGCAGCAGCACAGCAGCAACAACTGTTGCTGTTAGCTCGACGACAACAACAACAACACGCTTGCCGCTCTACAAAAAACGACAGCAAATGCGTTCCACACTCAAGCCGCATGGACTGTTTAAAGCAACTGCAAGCAGCGCAAGCCCATCAACAACAACAACAACAGCTGCTGCAACAACAACAACTGCAACAGCAGGAACAACAATAGCAGCAACAGAGCAAACTGAGGACGAATTGCTGTTGCTGGAGACAACAACGACAACGGCAGCAACAGCTGCTGCAGCCGATACATCTGAGCAGGAAAACAGCAGCGAATTGCTGACAGCAACACGCTATCGCACACGCAACAGCAACAGCAACAGCAACAGCAGAGAGCAAACAAAGCGATTGCGCGACAATATTATTGGCAGCAACTATGATAGAAATTCCGTGGAGGGCATAGAAGATGTTGAATTGGAGTTGAACGACAACATAGTCAGCACGGCGGCAACATACAACAGCAGCAGCAGCAACAGTAACAACAACAACAACAGCAGCAACAACAGCAGCGAGGAACAGCAAGAGAGCAACGATGAGCTGGAGAACTTTTTCGATGAAGTCGAAAGCAATACGCATCACATACGCTTGCCAGCGCCGACAGCAACAGCGCGACCAACCAAGCAACGCATACGCACACAACAACAACAGCAGCAACAGCAACAACAACAGCAGCAACAACAGCCGCTGCTGCTCATCGATGATGTGGACGATCGCACAGATCTGCTCGAATTGATCGAGGATCGACGTTCGGGCAATCGTTTGTTCAAAGTGCTCGAGCAACGGAACATGACGCTGGAGGAGCTGATCGAGCATCGTAAGCGTGGCTCCAGTCAGCTGCACTTGTCCACAATACTCAGCTCGGGCAGCGAGCAATCGCGCTATTATCCTGGCCAGAAGGTGGTGCTGCAGGATAATATGGATATTGTGACGGCGTTTGAGAATTTTCCGCATTTCAATTTGATCGATTTGAAGAGCGTGAAACCGGATGAGATTAAGACGGATTCGCAGGGCTCCAGCTATTTCACATCGATTATCGATATTGAGCCGACTAATGATAACGATAATGGTGATGATGGTGCCGGCGATAACATCGATAACAATCGCAATCGAGGTATAACTGCACTGCGGCTGCGACGTCAACGTCAGCGCCAGCGCGAGCAGCGCCGACGACAGCTGCTGCAGTGAGCGTGTGCTGACGCGCGCGTATTTGGCGCCTGCTGAGCTGTTGCCATTTATCGATTTATTATGCTTTACATTATCTATTTACTTATCGTTGTTGTTTTTTTGTTTGTTTTTGATTTGTCTGCTGTTGTTGTTGTTGTTGTTGATCGGGAAGGCACACAAACACACACATACACAGCAGTGCGGCAGCAGCTCAGCACGCCAAATGCACAGACGTAAGTAATCGCTGGGAATGTTGGGCATATTTGCCGTATGATTTATGTTGTCGATATTCTCGATGCATCGTTATCGATCAGTTTGCTTGTCAACAAATACATATATTTATTGAAGAATTGCGAATTGCATATCGCCATTTCGCATACAACACTCGATTTATCGATCCTAAGCTATCGATAAATAGCACCAGACATGTGATATATCACAACTGGCTTAAAAACAATAATCTTTTGAGCTTAAATCCTCAACCACTTTTCTTTAATGTTAGATCCGCTCAATTATCGATAACACATACATTGATTAAGAGCTGCTTGCAGCATTTAATAAGTTGCTTTTTTACTTTGCTTGCCAATGATCGATAATTTTAAAATCAGAGATCGATTGTTATCGAGAACGAGTTGTTTTATTCAGCAAAGCTTAAGTTCTCTTATCGATAACATGTCGATAACCGATATAATTGTGCATCGATAGTGATCGATAACATATATTTTGATGACACAATACAAATATGCCATCACACCTGGTACTAAAGCACACAAGCCACAGCTCGCTGTTAACGCCGCACAACAAACCAAAAAACCAAAACTTTTTACACTCCAAACACGATTAATCAAATCCATTTCTCTCGCTCTGTCTCTCTCTTTCTTTCTCTCTCTATCTCTAGGACCCGCCTATGCCCAAACCTCCCTATCAGCCACACCCACAGCACAGCAACAGCAGCAACAGCCGCGCGGCGAAAAGTCGCTCGGTTTCTTTCCGTCATGGAAAACATTGGCGCTCGCCTCGCTGTCCACGGCTCGAGCTGGCGCCACCAATGCAGATGATAAACGAAATGCGTACTATTTGCCACCGCCACGCCTACTGCTGGACAGCAACGCAGGCAGCTCACAGGAGCAGGACGACAGCAGCAACAGCAATAGCATGGACATAGATCTAAGCGTAAATGCATTCGGCAGCTCGAACAGTGGAAACGTGAGCAAACTGGCGCCCAGTGAGGACAACAGCGATGTCATCGATACCATTGAGAATGAGGTGGCGCGAGCACACGATTTGCTTGACTTGGAGCTATCCGGACACGGCTTCCATCGTAGTCCCGCAGCAGCTGCGACAACAATGTCGCAACAGCACTTGAGCAGCCTGTATGCGAGCATGCCAGCCGGCATTAGATCGGCGCTTGTGGCCAGTGCGGCCATTGTGCTGACGTCGCTGGCAACGCTGATGGTGATCTTTGTGGTGTGCCGCTGGAAGCAGCATCGCAAACGCAAGTCGAGCTACCTGAAGACCTACAATGCGATGAAGAGCAAGCTGCCACAATTGGCGCAAACGGCGAATGCTTCGCGTCGCTCATCGCTGCGACAGCATATGGAGGAGCTGGTCATCACCAGCAGCAGCAGCGGCGGCAGCAACAATAGCGGCGATATCTGTCACAAGGCGCAAAATGCTGCACTGGGCATTGCCACAGTGTCATGCAACACGCCCGTGCACCATCAATATCAGCAACAGCCACACTCACATCAGTTGCAGCGCCAGAGCTCGTTGCTATTCAGCCGCGAGGGCTGTTCCGTGTCGACAGCAGCAACGTCTGCTGCTGCTGCTGCGGCTGCGGCTGCGGCTGCAACAACAGCAACATCTGGTGCTGCGGCCGCAGCAACAACAGCAACAGCAACTGCAACAGCTGCTGGGCGTGGCGTCAATTCGCTGGCATTAACTCTGCGCAGCACACATCAGAAACTTAATACCATGGACCCCAATTCGCCCGAGGTGCAGGAATATCTTTTCGACACGTTGCGCAAATCATTCGATAATTAATTTAGCACTAGGCTCTAGTTAAAATACACTCACACCCTAGAGAACCTTTGATGGTATTCGCTCCGTTTAGGCCAAGTTTTATATAAACTATAAATATATATATATATATATATATACATGAACATTATCTAAATATACACGGAAAATATGCTAGTTTATCATCTTAAGAGAAATGGAATTTTTTTTTTGTGTGTGGTTGCATTAGGAATAGAAGAAGAAAAAGAAAAAGTCGTTGCGTATGGCCCATATGACACTGTCCTACAAATTGTTAAGCTTAAAAGCTAGGTAAAAGAGTAGAGAGGGGAGAGAAAGGGGGAGATTGGAAGAGGGGGGTTAGAGAGGAAGAATGAGGTAAAGAGAGAACGAAAGGGAAAGGGAGAGAGGAAGGAAGAGCGAAAGGCAGAGACAGCAAAAAGATAGAAAGAGAGGGAGAGAGAGGCAGAAAAAGAGACGGACATAGAGGGAGAGGAAAAACGAGTAAAAAGGGAGAGATAGCGAGAGAGACAGAGCGAGAGAGAGAGAGAGAGAAAGCAAAAAGCTAAGTAAAAAACGATCCACTCAAGAAACAAAATAAGAAAGCAACTAAGCAACGCACAAAACTAAGTGAGAAGCAAAGTAAAAGTAGCAGGGCAAAATGAGAAGGAATGAGCAAAGTAAGAAGCAAACCGCGAAGCAAAAAGAAACTACATAGAAAGCCAATAAGAAAATGTTCACTGTAGTGGAAGGTAAAGCAAGAAGCGAGGGGAGAAGCGAGAGAGGGGAAATAACAACAGCTAAAATAGAGGAGTTGTAGAAACTACTTGTTCAAGCGCAGTGAAAAGCGAAGCGAGAAAACAAATAGTGAGAGAGAAAGAGAGAGATAAACGAAAACAACAGAAAGCGAAACTAACTTTAAGAAAAATGATAGCAAAATAAGTCTGCTCAATTTCAACTTACGCTACATGTCGCTTCTTTCGCCTTAAAGGGCAGATCCAAACAATAAGAGAGAAGCATGGAAATAGAGGAGATTTGCTCCCCGAAAAGGAAAAATAACTTGAACGGATGAAAGCTAAAATCGTTCAGTAAAAGCAATTTGTAGGCCTGTGTCATGTCAAGCTTAAGCACGTACTTAAAAATAGTATTTAAATCTTAGACACTAACTACAACTCAAACTACAGCTAACCTAAAGAAAAAATAAAACAATTATAAAAAAATACATATATAAAAAAGTAAACGTGAAACTAGAAAATGCAAAACTTCTAAAACTTGAGATAAGTGATTTAATAAAAAATAAAATACAAATTGCGTTTCAGGGGCACAAACAAAATTTGAAATGGGTTCCGTTAGAGCACAAACAGAGAGATACAGAGAGCGAAAGAGAGAGAGAGGGCCAGCAAATGAGGTTATGTTACACCAAAATAAATAACGGAACAAATTATGCAAAAATCAGTTAGAAATTTAAAAAAAAATGTTTGAGGACAATAAATTTTTCAATCGATACGAATCACAACAAACTCAACCAAATTTATTGCTCTACAACAACAACAACAATGCTATAGCCAACACCCCTTTGTGCACACCCCTGGATATAATGACAAGTTGCCCAACACTGGCATATTAGAATAACTGCAAAAAAGAAAGAAACAAATATGAATTGAATAAAAGAAAATTCTAAAACGTTGAAACGATTTCAATTTTTTGTGCCCACAAAATACGAGAAATCTAACTAAATTTATATATATATATGTATCTCTAAATAGATATATGTCTAAATATATATATAAAAAAGATACATAAATTTATGCATGTAAATAAGTTACAATTTGTTTTTCTCTTTTTGTTATTTATCTTTCTTTTATTTTTTGTGGAAAATAAAATGTAGTAAAAAAAATATTTGGAAAATTGTGAAATTGATTTTTCGATCAGGAAATATTGAACAAGTTGTCACATGAAATATTGGAATGAAACAGTTGACAGCAGGTTGTCATGTACATGAAATGTTAGAAATGAAACAATTAGGTCATGCTGACCTGAAACGATCGGAAATGTAGTAAGCCAAAGCTGGAAATGGAACAGTCATATATATAAATATATTATAAATTATAAATTGCTGCAAATGAAATGAAACAGTACAATGAATGACCTGAATTTATGCTGAAAAGCCGAAACATTGAAATGAAACACTCGCTTTATAGAAACATACATCAAATCAGAAGTAAACCTTTTCCCAATTTCAATTCATTCAGATTGACTGAAACTGTTTAATGGGTGAAACACTGCAATGGAACATTCAATAATCTATATATTCAGAGCAAGAAAGAGAATAAGCTTTAAATCGATATCTGAGCTCCGCTTGATATGAATAGCTGAAAATACATAGGTAGATTATTGAATATCCATTGAAATGGACGTAATAGAGAAACCAATGGGATGTATGAAACACACGCATACACAGCCGTTCTACACACTTACCGATAGAGCTCGTAGCAGAGGCCGTACTCGGTAAAGAGATTTGCCATTCCACCCATAACGCTGTCATCGAACTGCATGAAGGCGCACTTGTACATGGAGGCGTATAGGCGCGCAATGACACGACAGTGCCGTACAGCAGCCGAACAGGCAGAGGTGCCGCGCAAACGTTGCATTTGCTCCACTGTAAAGTAGAGCACGGTATTGTAGCGCGTGGGAAGCGTATCGATGAAGGGCTGCCACGGGCTGTCCGCACCGCGCACCTTCTCAATGATGAGCGTATATGTGACATTAAGATGGGTGGGAAAATTGCGAAAGAGTTGACGTTGCTTTTCGGGCAGCAGTTCCTCAGAAAAGATGAGCTTGCGCGGCACACTGAGTACCTGTTCGCCCACCTTGATGTCGCGTGTGGCACGCAAACCTAGCTGATAGCCAGGAAACGTTGTGATTTCCACACAATCGCTTTGCACACCACCGGCCCGCGCCCATTCATTGAAGGCTTCGACCTTGGCCAGCCGTTTCTGTTCGCTCTGATGGTCATCATCGACAGGGCAGACAGCTTGTTGCAGCGGCTTTTCGTGAAAGATCATGCGATCCAGCAGCCGCTGCAGTTCCACATACTGTTTCCATTCATCGTTTGCATTGGCCGGCTGCATTTGCACCAATTCCAATATGTCCTGGGCGAGCTGATTTAATGCACGCCGATCGTTGTCTTTGAGGATGGGTATGCGGTTGTTTTTGCTCGGTTGCTTCTTGTGATTTGTCGTTGTTGCTGTTGTTGTTGCTGCTTCTGATGATACAGTTGCTGCAGTTGCTTGTTGCGCATTTTTGTGCTGTTGTTGTTGCTGATGCTTGTTGTTGCGTTTGTTTTTACCCATTGTGAGTTTTTTTGGAATCAAATAGACGTTTATCAATTACCGGTTAAAAGACGCCGCCGCGCAGCAAACACCAAAACAACAACCAAATAAGGGTAAAATTTAATGCAGCTCTGGCAACACGTGTAGTCGCGCGAGCAGCAGCTGTTTAAGAATGGTATGCAGCTAAGACATAATATCGTTGCGCGATGAATATCGATTCATTTGCACGCAATACGACAATTGCAACAGGTATGTAGTATGTAGTATGTATTTTTCGCCTCACATTCATTTTGCTAACTATCCCAACATTATTCTTCAATAATTGTAATAAGCTACATACTTGCCTCAAGTGCGATATAACGATAGTTCTGAAATACAACTCTGTGCACTGTCACATTGCAACTAAAATACATTAAGCAAGCTCTTTAAAAAACGTGCTTCATAAATAATCACAGGCTTTGGAATTCCAGATCATTTATTAAGGTCTTTCCTTTTTGTTTCGAAAATGAAGAAAAAAGTAGAAACGCAAGTGCAAAAAAAGAAGCCTGCCGTGGCCAATGGTTTTATCAAACCAGTAATAGCGGTCAAAAAAATGCAGGAAGCTCAAAAGGAGAATCACAATAAAAACCAGGAACAAGATTTGCAGCCAAAAGCACATAAGTCCAAATCAAAGCCAAAACGCCCACAAAGTGACATCGGCGAAGAAAGCGTGAAAGGGCTAGCCAAAAAACGCAAACTCTCAGATAAGCAGAATGGAGAAGAGGCTAAAACAGAAGCCGTCGAGTCCATCAAACAGCTAGCAGAGAAAAAAATTGACATCGCCAGTATAAATAAAGGTATTTTCGCTATTTTTAGCAAGCTACAGGACAGCAACAAGCAGACAACAGAAAAGCATGTAAACGATATGATTGCGCTACTGAGCAACGAAAAGGATGCACAAAAGGTATGTACTTCAACGTGCCGTCACATATACCTGTGCTGCACACTACTGCAAAAAAATTTTAACGTCCCTATCAATTTTAGCTTATAGTTCCATTATATTTGGTTGTATATAATGATAGTATTCAATTTAATAAAAATTTTAAATGAGTAACACAAAACAAGCATAAGCGAAAATACGAAATACCAAAAATAATGTAACGTTCTTTGATCAACATACAACTCTGCGTGTAACGGCAAACTTTTCAAAAAAAAAAACAAATCCCTCATATTTTCCTTATGCTGTTCATAAAATATATTTGTAGGGCTTGAAATGATAAAAAATAACTTTAAAAAATAATTTTAAATCGATAATTTTATAGTTATTAATTTCAAAAATGTAATTTCCAGCGCACAGCAACCTGTGCATATGCTTTAAAGCGTTTAGTACGCTGCACCGGTGCCGACGACAAAGCGGGTGTTGCCGTTAACTCCAGTTATATAAATAGCATATTACGCTCTGTACCCGGCCTCGATCCGATCGAGCTGTTGAATTTACTAAAGCGCGAGCTTCCCTCCAATAGCAACCAGAAGGGCAAGGAGGAATCTCTAGCTGCTGTTGGACAACTGATAACCGTTTTGTCCATTATGCAGAGTCAATACTTTCAACAGCCTTCAGCAGCTCTGATAGCAATCGTCTATCCCATTTTGATAGCACAGCTAAAGGGACGCGAGTATTTGGTATCGCTGTGTGCCGAGATTATGGCTGGTTCTTTCAAACAGGTGAGAATCCAAATTAACATTAAATTTACTGCATAAACTAAGCATGATTGTTGGTGTTATCTAGGTGAATGCGGCCAGCTTTGAAAGCCACGTTTGGCCCCTTCTGCAACCTGAACTGAATAAACCCATTTCGGCCCAGAAGCTGCACAGCTGTGATCTTCTACTGGCTGTACATCTCAACTATCCAAAGGTGTTGTCGCTGAAACAGTTGCAGTCGATACTCTGGCGCAAGCAGATACAATACGAACAGCTATTTGAAATCTATTTAAATAACTCCACAATGCAGGGTGATGGTGTTTATTCACGCCTGGGCAAATTTTTGGGAACATGTACCAATGATCAGGCTTTGGCAGCCTGGCAGAAGCATATTGCTGAAAAGCTGCCGATTAAGCACATCACAGCAAAGAGCTATATAATACAAACTCTGAGCCATGTCCTCATGCACTACGATGATAGCAAGCATAAGGAACATGTGCAGTTGGAACAGCTGTTTTCATTGGAGCCATTGCTAAACATGCTGTACGGCGAGATGCTCACATCAAAAAAGCTGACTAGCAAAACCAATGTAAGGGCAAAGCCGGCGCAGCGTCAAATGCGTTACATATGCCGTAAATTTGAGACGTCGTTGATCATCAGCTTCCAGCATCAACTCAAGCTGGACACTTGCAAGCTGGCTATTATACGTCCATTGCTCCAGCTTCATCTGCAGCTGGACAACATTATGCTAACGCCACGATTCACACATCAGCTGCTCAGCCAACTGGGCGAACAGGGCTTAAATCAGATTTACGAATTCTATTTCGAACGATTCACCAGCAATGATGAGCAGGTGACTCGATCGGATCGGGAGCATTGTCTAAAGCAAATGCAACATTTACAGCATACCAAGCGCACCAAACTTTTGGAGTTCTTGCTGAACGCTTCTGTCTTTAATCTTAACGATGATCAAAAGCCTTGCACGGCCGCTGAGGCAGCTATCTTCAGTCGTCAAGCAGCATCACGTTGCGTTGAGTCGTTCTTTAGCTGCCTGGTCAATAAGATCGGCACGAATAGCGAACAATTGTTTGCTCTCCATGAGCAACTACGTCCGCTCTTGCTGCCGCTGGCCAAAAAGCTGGCCAAACCCGGCATCGAGTCAAAGCTTCGCATTAAGCTGACGCCTGAAATACGCAAAATATGGGAGAAGGTGCAAAAGGTATTGGATACGCCGCTTTCAGTCAAGGAAAAGCAAGCCCAACCACTTACTGTCATTTTCGATGCACTAATCCTGTTCCTTGGCGTCGCCATGTTGACACCCACCACCAATATAGGACTGGATGTCATCGATGATTTGTTCATCTGTAAGCAACATGCGCTCAATTCCAAGCAGGACAAGGAGAAACGAAAGTCAACGGTAACTATCTAATTCGCTGTTCGAAAACTAAAGCTTAACTCACATTGTTATTCTCCTTCTTCACTAACAGACTGATGTGGAGCCCAATTGGCAGTCGGTTCTCACAGATGCGCTGCTCCAACTGCTGCTCCAAACGGGTAATTTCTGGCGCCAATTTGTGAATGCAGTTGGTAGTGCAGTGATGCCGCATCTCGGCAAAGATAACCTGGAGCAAGTCTTAGAGTTGCTCGATATGGACAGAAATCCGTTTGCGGACAAATCGTGGGGTGATCTGGAGGTCAATGAGGATGGCATTGAACAGCAAGATGAGGACAACGAAACTACTGAGGATGAAGGCGAAGAAGAGAATACTGATGAAGATGATGAAGAGGACGATAGTGACAATGAGGATGATGATAATGATGGGGACAAGGAGGATGAGCAGAACGATGATAATGACAATGAAGACGACGATGAAGATGGCGATGATGATGATGATGATGACGACGATGACGATAAGTCCACTGAAAGTGACGATGAAGCCACAAATTTGGAGTTAATACGTGAAAATGTACGCAAAGCTCTGCTGAATGGTGACACAGATGATAATGATGCCAGCAGCGTCGATTGGAATGACGTTGACGAAGAACAGGGCGAGCGTCTCAACAAGGCACTGGAAGCCGCATTCCATATGCGCAAATCCAAGGGCAACAGTCAGGGTAAAAGCTCGAAGCGTCTAACCAAATCGGAGCGCATCACCGACACCGCCTTGCTGCACTTGCGCATACGTGCCCTGGATCTGGTTGAACTGTTTATCACTATGCAGCCACAGCTGGAGATTATAATGGATGCATTGACTTGTGTACAGCAGGTGTTCAAACAGTGCAGCCAGGAGCCCAAGCTGAAGCCTCTGGCCGAGGCCACAAAGAAGACGCTGCGCAAGTTGCTCAATCAGAAGATTGCCTACGATTCGCCGATGCAAGACAAAGAGCCTATAATTGACTGCATCAAGAGCCTGTTGGAGCAGGAGGCACAACCAGATGCCAATGCCAAAGGAAATCCCAGTGCCAAATCAATTAAGGCCAAGGGCGAGCTGGCCGTGTGGCGCAACAAGATCATCGCCTATTTGGTCAGCCAATTCAATGAGGTGAATATAGCCGCCAGCGCTGTTTGGCCATTGCTTCAGAGCTTCGCCAAGGACTGGGCCAGTCGTCGCAACAGTCCCCATCAATTGGCCACGTTCGATGCCATCTTCGCCTCGCCCTGGATTGGCATTGGGCGCTTTGCGGCCAGCTTTTATGCGCTGCTCTCCACGAGCTCATTGCGTCTCTTCCGTCGCGTTCAAATCCTCGAGCTGCTGCTCAAGCACTGTAAACGCGTTTGCAACGCGTTTTCCAACAAGCTGCAGACCACGAAAGAGTTTCACGCCATCCTCGCTAAATACATCCCAATCTCCGAGAAGGATAGCAAGCTGCAAAAGAAGCTACTGACTCAGCTCCAAAAGTTCATCACAGAAGCTCAAGCTAGTTCTTAATTTTTTTTTCTTAACGGAACAAATGTGTTTGTTCTATTTTTTACATCCCAATTGACATGGGCGGTACACCTAGGGGCGGGTTTTAAAGTAAACGCTGGGGCTGGAGCGATTACGTGTTCAAAGTTGGTTTACCATTAAACCAAGTGATACAAAACAAATATAATATAATACAACAATTGAAAATTTATGAAATTACAATTTTCCTTTTAATGGAAAGATTTATAGATTTGCTATCTTCGATGGTATTCAAATTCGAATTTCGGAATGGATTCGAGTTATTCCACAATGAATATCCCACAGTTGAATCCGCACATATGGGGCAAGCAGTGGATCAGAGAGAGATAGCTGCATATTGTTGAACTCTAGCAGAAAACGAAATGAGACGTTTAATCAAAAATGAACTATATTGACTGATGATTAAACTAAATACACAGATACAAGCTCAATTATAATTTATACAGTTCAATTGGAGCACTTGGAGTGTTCATCAAGTACCAGAAAGATAAACGTTCTGCTGCAGTGTAGTGGTGATGATGGGCACCATTTTTTGATCCTCATCGCCGCGTTTCTCGATCACCTGTCCAGCTGCAAGGGTCAGAATGTCCAGGATGTGCTCGCTGCAAGATAAACAAGGATTAGAAATGCATTTCGAATCTCTAGTTGGGTTTACAGTCAGTTAGCTAAGCTGGCTTTAAATATAAATACGACTAAATATCTAACTGGATGCTAAACGAGTTCAGTTTCTTTACCGCTTCGCATGTCTTTGCACTGTGTCGCACAGCGTCTGGATGAACCAACTGCCCTGCACGCTGTGCCGTAGAGCAACAAATCCGGGCACCGTCGACATGGCCACAACCATGTTTGCCAGCTGGATCGCCGAAGATGTTGTGGCATTTACATTGCGCTGTATAAACAGAAATGAAAATGAGATTTTCATTTAAAATTAGTGGGAGCATCCTCTACCGTTTTCAGTTGCTTCTCGTTCTGCTGACAGGCCTGGATGAAAAGCATCTTAGGCTTGTCGTGCAGACTCTCTTCGCCGCCAAGTACATTCTTGATCTCGGCAATGCTCAGTGGTATGCTATCCGCACCATAGACGGCACCTTCAAACCCATGCGACAAAATGCACACAATCAGGGAATCCCGGAGGACGGAACGGGCACAGGCACCGCGTATAAGTGCGAGCATATCCAAATGGTCGACGTTATCGTGCGCCTCCACAATGTAGCCCAGCGGCGAGAAGACATCAATGAGACGCTGTTTGTCCGCATCGGTGCCTTTGCGTTGCGTTAACTTCTGAGCGGGTAAAAATTCCTGCGAATTTTGGATTTTGTTAGCTTTTCTTATAAAGAAAAATGGTTCATGCCGTTCACAACACATTTACTTGATTTTTTGGTATTGCTTATCAATATTTATGTTTTATGTGCATTTGAACATTTATAATTGGGCAACATTTTGATTAATTATTAAGTGATTTCCTATTTTAATAAATTTATGTGTTTACTATTCATTTTCTTTACGTCTGTTTTGTTTATATTTGAATATCTGCTGAGCTGCTTCCAGAGAAAAACGCTCTTTCGTAAATTGCAAATAAAAACCCGTTATACACAGAAAAAACATGCAAAATGCACTAAAAATTGACTAATTTTGTTAAGCCATTTTGAGTAGCAAAAGGACTATTTCAAACAATTAAATTTATCGATAAGTTATGCAGTTATCAATTGATAGGCTTTTCAAAAATACCTTATGGTGAAAATGAATTTTAAAGTTATATTTTAAAATAATAAACTCAACTAGATTATAAAGATCACTAGATAAATGATAAATTGTGAAATGAACAATCGGTTTAGTTAACATTTATCCACTCCAATTTATTTGGTAAAAATTTTAATTTGTACTCACTTTAAGGTCCTCGCTGACATTGCGATGAAAACTCTGCTGATTGATTATAAGCAATATACCAGCCTTATTCTGGCGCACTTGTAGAGCATTAGAGTGTCGCAGCTGATTTTTGCAAGTCGAAGGAGCAGTTGATGCAGCGCAAGAGGTAGCTGGGGCAACAGGAGTTGCAGCAGTTGGCTCTGCACCACTTTGTAAGTTATCAGCATCGAATTTGCTCACTGGAGAGCTTCTAGTTGGCACACTGGCGCTACAGTTGACCGTCTGGATAAGCAGAGTGGACAGGGAATTGCGCCCATTGAACTTAAAGTACTCGATTAGCAGCTCCACATCACTGCCAATGGCATTGATGTCACCCAATCGCAGATGACGACGCGTCAGCAAGTCGAGCAGAAAGATTTCCAAGTATGAAGAGTCATAAAAGCGCAAAGGTTCATCATGTTCGCTAGACGTTCGCCTTCTGGCCAACTTATCATTGATATCCAAGACAAAGCGTCCGCTCTCTGCAATCGTTAGCTGTTCGCAAATGGTGTACAAGGCCTTTAGTAGTGGATGCACGTGCAGCGTCAGCTCCAGTACATGGGGTAGATAATGTAGACGCAGTTCCTCCCAGCTAAAGCCCAATTTTCGGAGCACTTGGCGAGCGTCAATAATGCAGAGCGCTTCGATTAGATGACCACGCCAATTTGCCGGATTCGTCTGGGCATATTGACGCAAAAGATCACTGTGCAGCTGATCTGCTGGAGGTGCACGAATCAACGCCAAAAGCCTTTGCAATATGTAGGTGGCTAAGGCGTGTTGATCTCCGAACAAAAGAAATGCCAGAGACACCTGAATGCAATTATTGAATATTGAATATGGAACATTGAATTGCTGTACAATTCGTTACCTTTTGTGGCAAGTTAAGATCACGTTCTAGATAAGGCAAATCCTCTATGTGCACATTATCCAATTGTGCCTCCATTACCCGAACTGCTCGCGGGGAAGTCCAAAAAATTAATAGTCACAGCAGCGGGTATTGCTCACAAAGAGGCGCATGCATATGTTGGTTTATATTGGTTAAATGTAATTAAATGTATTCATGGTGCTGGCATTTTCTGTAAACTGTTATCAAAATAAAAATATATCGAACACGCGATCGTAAGATGTGACCTCTGGTAAAATCTCAAATTAGCCAGACGGTCCCACTGCGCCTATCGATTGATATCGTTTTCGCTGGCTATTTCAAAACAATAACTACAATACAATACTCACACAGAATTCAACCAATACAAATGCTTATATTTTATAAAAGCAAATTAGTTTATAAATATAATTTGTATTGCTTATAAACATGTTTTTAAAATAACAAACTAAATTCAACACTCGATCGTAGGGTGACCTTTTCTCAACCCAAATTCCACAACAGTTCGCATGGTCATATTGCACTTGTTAATCCCTTGTCGGTTTCGATTTCAAATTAAATAATAAATATAAATACTTGCCTTGACTTTTCACTCAGAACGAAACAAAAGCAACTTATGTGCTTATATTACGATTTAATGTTCATAACTGTGCTACATGCGTCGCAGCAGGACAATTTTCCAAAAAAAAAAATATTAATAAAAATAAAAATAATTATTATTTGTATTGAAGCACAAATTATCATTTACAAGCGCATTGATAATAAAGATTGGTCTAAGCCTATGTCTAAGGTAAGATAACGATATCTGCAATGCTGACCACCTCAACCCAAATACCATATTCAAGATCATAAATATTTTTGTGCATATCTACATAAATCAACATTTCTGCATAGGATGTAATATTAGTTACCTAAGTTTGCGAAATAATTTTGCGCAACTCTGCTGCCTATCGAAAGAAAGAAATTCACGAGGGACGGTGGTGCCAGACTTAATGCGTTCAGCGTTTAGGGGCGCTAAGCCTTTGTGCAATGCTTCAATCCTTATTTGATCCATTATATTTTGGCATTTATTAATTAGAAAGATCGATTTAACGGGTCTTACAAGGCCAGAACGAAATACAATATTTGACATAAAAAGTGCGCTCAATCAGTGCTGCCAATTGGTTTGAAAAACAAAAAACCCTAGATACATAAATTCACCACAGACACGACCGTGCGCATCCAGCCCTGGTTTGTGTTCGTGGTGTACGGTTGCAATTTTCACAAATCATTCAAGTAGATATTGTTGAATTGTTAACAACGCTCATGTTGACGAGTTTTTAATTATTTAATGTATTTGTTATTCTGTCTATGAGCGAAACAGAGAGAAAGGGACAGACATATACAGAGGCCAGGGCCACAGTCAGAGAGAAAGAGAGCGACAGCTTGCATATAATGTACAAAAAAAACCAAAAAAGAAAAAAAAACGAGAAACAGAAATTTTTATTTCTCATACATATATACCACATATATATATACATATATGCATACGATAAATGTTATACGCATATGCGTGTGTGCACACGCATATTGCGCTATAGCCATGTGTATATGTGTATGCCAGTATATGTACATATATATATATATACCTTCACATATTTTATATACATATATGCATATCTATTCACCTACTGTACCACTTCATTATGTAAGCAGCGGGAACTCTACGACGCCAAGCAAGCAAAAGCAGAAAAAGAAAACGCAAAAGCAAAAAAAGTAAACCCAAACTATGGGAAACAACAATCGACAAAACCAAAATATAACCAACAAAACAACGAAATTGAACAGAAATGTTATAAACCATTAATAACTGTAATTTGTAAATGTTCCGTAACCACAAACCACGCCCACGCTGAAACGTAAGAGAAATTGTTCCAAAAACAACAAACAAACAAAAAACATGCTAGCACAAAACTATTTTTCCAAATTTTTTCGCAACAAATTCTTGTTCGTTTTTGTTTCTGTTGCCAGCCAATCAGCCACGCCCACAAACGCTCTAGTCAAATAACATTGAAAGAAAGAAAAAACAAAGAGCTGAACGCAAACAAAAACTAACAAGGAATTGTTCCCTTTTTTCAATATTAACTTTACCAACAAAAATGTCTTACGGGGCCCGCTCTGTGTACATGCGTATACGTATATACGCACATACACACATTCACACGTACACATGGGCATGCAGTTGTGCATGTGCATATTAAAAGGTGCACAGCGGCCATTGCTGTAGCGTTCTTTTTTCGTTCGTGTGTCATGCGGGGCGTCGCATACATACATACATAGACACACACACACACAAGCTCACTCACAATTTTTATATATAGGCAAGCAGCGGCATCAAAAAGAAAAAACTTTCGCCCAGCGTGGCTCTGACAAATGTGGCAACTTTTAACAACAACAAAATCATCGACAAGTACAAAGTGTAATATTTCTAACATAATTTATAACTGTTTGTATATATCAAATATGCATTTTGAACGGTTTAGCCAAACACACGCACAAAATCAGATACACGCTCGTATTCACGCTTATGGGTGATTGTATGTATATGTGTCACGCATTTGCGTTTTATGCTCAGCCCATGCGCGCAAGCGAGACAACATGATATGTCAGTCAGAATGGAGAGCGTACCAGAGCGTCGCTTACTGCTCACACATACTTGTATTAATGCGTCTGTGTGCGTGCCAATAGAATTTTGCAAAAATATGCTATGCATGTACGTATATAATTTTTGTATTTTTCTTCTGGCCTCAAAAACGTGCATTATACATATTTATATATACATATACAAACTACAGTTGTATATAACGGCGTTACCAGCATTCTGCTAATGCGTAAATACGCACTTGCTACTGCTCCTTAATTTAATTGTAACTATATATGTACATATTGTATGTAAGCAAATTAGCTCATACCTCTCTATAGATATACATATATATATATATATATATATATATATATATATATATATATATATATATATATATATATATATATATATATATATATATATATATATATATATATATATATATATATATATATATATATATATATATATATATATATATATATATATATATATATATATTTGTTTGTTTGTAAGGCCAAGCAACAAGTGTCTGTGTGTTTATGTGTGTGCATAATGTTGTTCGCAACATTTTGCGTTTAACAGGGCTATGTTATGTGCTAAGTGAATGGAAAGCTAAATGGCCACTGTGGGCGTATGCATGCAAACAACAAAATATGTGACAAAGCATTGCTTTTGTGTTTGTAGCATAAGCACACAGACACGCCTACCCGCGCGTACGTGTGGCTTCGTTTATAGAGAGTTGTTTTGTTTTTTTTTTATTATTTTGCTTTTGATATTTGTGCTTACTATGGTTTGGTTCGACTCAGCAGCATGTTGCTAGCCAAGAGGCGAGCAACATGTGTACATGCCGCACTGTGGTCAGCGGTTTGTTTGAATCTTTATGCATATGCGTCCAATATATAATATATGTCGAATGTTGAGACGAGCCCTGCTCCTGTTTTAGCTAAACCCCTCGATAAAATATCTCTTGCAGTATTTTTCGCTCATTTTGAAACGTAAACGCAATATGTCATCCGTTGTGGCTGGCGAAACGCCGTTAATAAATCTAGCAGAAGATCTCGAGGATGGCGAGATTGATGATGATGACGATGAAGATGAAGAGCAGAAGCCGCAGCAACAGAAAATTCAAACACAGCAACAACAGGTAAAGCCAGCTGCTTTTAAGGCTTGCGGCTCCAACGATGAGGTCCAATTTGTGGGTATTGAGCGTTTGAGCGAGAAGCACGACGATGACGTCATATTTCTGGGCATGGACAGCGAAACGGCAGCCACGAACAGTAACAAATCTAAGAAGCCACGCCCACTTGAAGGTAAACAACAACAACGGAAACTGCTTTTTGTCACGCCTCTTCTAACTGCGCCCCTTTTCCAACCCATACACCCCTTACCCCCTCTCACAGATGATCATGCGGTGAGCATTGAGAACGCCATTGCCAAGGCGCTTAAGAAGGGGGGCATTGAGCCGCCCCTGTCCAAGCTAAATAATATCAACAACCATAACAGTGACGCCGACAGCGCTGCCAACGCCGCCGGCGACAGCGGCAGCGCTGCAATCGGCCTCGACAGTTGTCAAATTGGGGGACAGCAGCCGTCAAGTCGCAGCAGTCGTCGACGCAAGCGCAAAAAGGAACGCGAACGCGAGCAAAAGAAAGACAAGGAGCATCAGGTAGGTCGTTGCTTTAAGCTAACGGTGCCCACTGTTCGGCTTTCTCTTATGTACCCCCTTCCCCTCGAATCCTAATAATGTGTTGTATTCGCTATGCCCATGCGGCGAATTGCAAGACGAATTGAATGCAATCGATTGGCTCGCCAGTCGTGAAGCGAATTCAGAAACAGCAGAAACGTACGGCACACCCAGTAGAGTCCTAAATTTGGGCCAACTATTTTACTTAGGAATATTGTATTATATACAAAAATATTTTATTTTAGTATTTTTTTATTTACAGGGTATTTTATACAGTTAATACTCAATAGTGTTAACTATTCATGGGGTTATATATATATAATAATTGTAGGGTATATATTAGTAAAATTTTAGGGTATCTGCTGGTCGAGCATGTTGAAGGTTTATTCTTTCCCTGGTTGTCATATACATAAATGCACTTCATAGATTCACAGGGTATAATTAATTGCAAGAAGAGTGAAATATCGTAAAGTATAGGGTATTTGCATATGTATCTAAGAATGAAGTATATTTACAGGGTATCAAATTCGAATGTGTTACCATAAAAGCAAAGAAAACAGGGTATATGTATTTTATAAACGCACTTACAGGGTATCTAACGTTTTATAGTTATTAGTCGAGCATGCCAACCAAGCAACTATACACTTTGCATTCACTTGTAGGGTATTTATGCAGTCGAGCATCGATTTATAATTATTTTATGTTATTTTTTTTCGCTTGCCTAGAAACGAGCTCGCCGCGATTCGATGGACGATGTCGGCGGCGGTGTTGGCAGCGACGAAATGGAAATGGACGAATACGAAATGATGAATGTGAGGGGCGGCAGCCCGCCGCCAGGTGGCGCCACATGCGGCTCAAGTGCCGCGCCGATCCGCTACGCCAACGACTGGCCCGGCATGAGCGATGATGCGGTCTACGAATCGCCGCCAGAGAACTACAGCAGCTACGATTCCTACTCGGACGACGAGGCGGCCATCGGCGCTGCACAGCGTCGACGCCAGCGTCGCGAGCGCGAGAAAGAGCTGCGAGGCGGGCGCAAGCGACGCGATCGGGAGAGAGATCGAGAACGAGATCGCGACTTGGATAGGCGGCACGACGGAGGCGGAGCTGGCGGCGCGGGCAGTTTGGGTCCAGGTGGATGCGTGGGCGGAGGAGCTGGCCTTGGTCCAGGCGGCGGAGGAAGCGGTCTTGGCAGCAAGCGCAATCGTCGCGACTCCAACGATGAAAAGTCGCGCGAGCCACGAAAACTGGAGCTATGCAAATTCTATCTGAAGGATTGCTGCGCGAAGCGGGACAAGTGCAGCTACATGCACAAGGAGTTCCCATGCAAGTACTACTATCTGGGCATGGACTGCTATGTGGGCGAGGATTGCCTTTTCCATCACGGGGAGCCGCTGACCGAGCAGCTGCGCAACATTCTGCTGAAGCACATGGAGACGGCGCCCAAAGAGATTCTCGGCGACTTCAAGCGCATCTCGCGGGACATTGCGCTCAGCCAGATGACGCGACGGCACGAACAGCTGTGCGAGCAGTACAACATGGACAATACGTGGACAACGCTGGCCAGCGCCGGTATTAGTCGGCTGCAGGATCAGCAGCACGCGGCGGCCAAGGCAGCTGCCCAGGCGGCCAACCAAGCGGCCGCCATCGCTGCAGTCAACGCCAATCTGCAGCAGCAACAGCAGCAGCAACTGCAGCAGCAACAGCAGCAGACGGCAGCTGGGGCTGGGGGCGGAGTAGGAGCAGCTGGTGGCGCGATACCCTCACTGCTCGACATGGTCATCAATCCGCCCATCAACTTGAACCAGAGCGACGCAAAGCCCGAGAAGAAACGCAAATCGCGCTGGGCCGAAAAGTCGGGCGCAAAAACGGGAGCGGCAGCTGGAGGAGGTGCTGCAGGAGCAGGCGCTGGAGCAGCTGCTAGCACGACGAGCACAGCTTCGCCAACTTCAGTTGCTGCTGCCCCTGCCACTGCCACTGCCACTGCCAAACCCTTGCCCGGGCACCTGGATTTAGTGAATCTGACGCAAGTGCTCAGCGCCGAGCACATGGCCAAGCTGAATAAGCTGGGCATTTCGAATCTGGAACAAATGCTCCAGGTGCCCTTCGGCCAGCTGACCGAGGTGGGGCTTACGTTGTCAGAGCTGGGCGAGATTCAGCGCAAGGCCGAGGAGGCCAAGCCCCAAGCCACACCAGCGGACACCAAGTAAGCATACCGATATGATCATGACCAGGTGGCATCCATTAAGTGCGCCCTTTCTACATATTCCTTGCAGATCCGCTGCTGCCAAGACGGAGCAGGAGACGAGCAATCTGAGCACCGTTGTCGGCTCGAACAGCAATAGCAACAGCAACAACGGCTTCATCATGGTTGACTACACGCAATATCTGAAGGATGCTCATGTCAACTTCCCTGGCAGCGATCCGCGTAAGTCAATGGCCTAAGCAAGTCGAGTATTTAGGGGTATTGGGCAATATTCTTCAAAATTATATATAAATAGATAGGAATCTCTTAAGTTGGTTAGGTCTATAACATGTTCTTAACATGCACGCTAACTGCGCGCTGTTAACTAACATTGACAGCGCTGGTGTGCAGGCAGTCTGTTAATATTACAATTCTATAACATGCACTGTTAACTAACATTTGCAGCGCTGTTATCGTCATGTCAGGCAGGCGGCAACCTGTTAATATTGTTGTAAACTCTACCCCGTTTGTGTTTCAGTGGACGACGATCGCGAAGAGGACGAGGAGCAGCTGGTCATCGACGATGGCAACGAGGATGAAGATGGCGAGGAGTCCGAGACGGATGCGAAGTTAAAGAAATCGAAGCGTTCCAGCGAGGAGGAGGAAAAGAAGCCGCTCTCGCAATCGGACGCCGAGGAGGATGCGCCGCCATTGCCATCCGTCTTCGATCTGCCCACCTTTATGAGCAACATGCTCAGCCAGAAGTCTTCGATTGCGACTATTGCTGCAGCCACGACGCCGTCCGTTTCATCGCCCAGCACGCCGGAGCCGCAGAGGGAGAGCAGTCCGTCGGCATCAGCCAGCAAGTCACCAGCTGGTGGAGCAGCAGGCAGCAGCGGAGGACTCTTTGGCAAGCTGATCTTCGGCTCCTTCTACAATCCATTCAAGGCGAACAGCGGCGATAATGTGGCCGATGATGGCGACAACAACGATGCGAATCCCAGCGGCGACAGCTATAGCTACATGGATGCTGCCCACTATTCCAATTCGAATTCGCGTTCCCTGACGCCGACGCCGACGCCGACGCCCGAGCCGGGCTCGCAATCGCCCAAAGGATTGGGCGGAAGCGAGCAGTTGGGAGCTTCGGGTGCCTCGCCGCTTGCAGCGTCCAATTCTGCGGCCGCCTCCCTCTATGTGCGTCGCTCCATGTACGACTATGAGCCCGCCAAGGCGGCGCTGGAGGATGCGCGCGCAAGTGCTGCGAAACGTGAACGGGATCGGGACATCGATATGCGTCTGCCCTTCGAGCCAATGAAACACTATTTGCCCGCCACAGAGATCGATGCGGCCATCTTCTCGCACATCCCGATACGCTGGCAAATGCAGGAGGTGCTCGTGGATCCGCCCTGCTACTCGCAACTGCGTCAGAGCGCCTGCCACAAGGAGCAGCGCGAACTGCGTGATCCGCGCTTGCGTCGCATACTCGGACTGCCGGAGCTGACGGACGAGACGGCCGCTGGCTCCAGCTCAAGCTTGGCCGGCGGCAGCGGCGGCGCCAGCTTCAGCACTGCAACTGCCTTCTCCACGGAGCGTCGCGAGCGCAAGACGAGCAACTGCATCGCCTCGCCGGATGCGCAGCTGCTGGACTCGACGCCCAGCTCGCCGCCGCCTGCCGGACTCGCTCAGCCATCGATGAGCGTGCCGCCGCCAGCAGCTGCAGTCAACGCCGCCACGTCCGCCACCACCTCGTCCGCCTCCTCCAGCATTGAGCCAGCTGCATCAGTTGGCGGAGATCCGCGCCGCAGTGATCCGCGTCGTGATCCGCGACGCGCGCATTTAAACGTCAGCAACTCCAATGCCAATGCTTCCGCCTCAGTCACGATATCTTCCTCCACCGCCGCCGGCTCCTCCTTCAACGATAGCGGACGCCAAATCTCCGAGATACGCAACCTGCTCCAGAGCTCCAATTGGTACAAGCAGCTGGGCAGCAACAACAAGATCATGGTGAATCAGCAGCTCGCCCTGGTCTTCACAGAGCTCAAGAAGTTCCATCAGCAGGACTCGCCCAACAAGATTTTCGACGTCAACTTCATCGTGAGCAACCAGACGCTTCAGCAGATCTTTGCCAAGCTGCACATCTATATCGATGATAACGGAATGGTTGTCCAGCTGCCCGAGGAGCCGCCACAGAATGTCGCCTCGGTCGTGGTGCCCAACTTGCCGCCCATTTTGCCAAACATGTCACAGCCGCCGCCGAACCTGGTCCAAATGCTCCGACAGCCGCCGCCCAACGTGGGCCGAATGATGCCCATGGGCATGGCCATGCCGCAGTTCAACCAGCCGCCGCCGCAGCGCTCGAACAGCATCCTGGGCATGCCGCCCCACGGCATGAACGTGATGAACAACAATCCCTTCAATCCGTTCGCCGGCAACAACCTGAATATGAACAATCTCAACAATCTGAACAATTTGGGCAACATGAATGGCCTCAATTTGAGCATGAATATGAATGGCATGAATAGCATGAATGGCATGAATATGAACAACTTGGGCGTGGCCTTCAATGGAGGCGGCAATGGTATGTCCGGACCTGGACCCGGCCCTGGACCTGGACCCGGCCCTGGACCTGGACCTGGACTCGGACCCGGCGGCGGACCGGGTGGACCGTTTAAGAATTTCGGACCGGGTGGCAACAACCAGGGCGGCGGCCGACATTTTGTGGGTAATCGGAATCGAGGAGGCGGCGGGGGTCATCGCAATCGCAACTAGAAAGAGGGAGAGCGAATACTGGGAAATAATGTTCATACGGGGAAAGCATTCGAGAGCCAAAAAACACTGAAAGAGAAAAATACTGGGCAAGAAACAAACGTTCGCATATCACAGAATAGTGGGAAAAGCAAATGTGAATCTGTACAGAAAATACTGGGCAAGAAGCATACTTTCGTGTATGCGAAAATACTGGGGTCTATACTGCCCCGTAACAAAAAAAAGAAACTATACAAAATACTGGTTTTATATTTAAAAACCGTTAATGTATGCGCCCCGTTGCCTTGCAATACGCCCTTCAATGAAAAAGACTTGTAGCGTTATGTTTATGTTTATCAATGAACTGCCCTCCTCCCTCGTCCACGCCCACGCCCACGCCCACGCCCCTGTTCCTCTTTGAAATAAGACATACAACCCTCCCACATATACATACCCACGCCCACACCCACACCCACACCCCCTAACACACACACACCCTAGGATATGGAAAGCAAATGTTACATTTGTATAGCTTTATCGGTTTTTTGCTATTTTTAGCCACTACACAAAAAAATCGGATTTGGACTGCTATGTAACTGTACATTATAACTATAAAAATTGTTTTTTTTTTTAACTATAGATATATATGTATAATTAATATATATGCAGACTATTTTTTTCTATGTTGATTAAGTATACTCGTATATATACAAATAAGTATATATTATATTATATATATGTATATATGTATACATCTATATACATATGTATATATACACACATATATATAGCGCCTACGTACTGATACAAACTCAAAAACATTTATATTTAGTCGTTTGTTAACGATTGTAAGTTTAGTCGTAATTGTAGTAGTATTCAAAAATTTGTAGACATACGAAATAAACGTCAAGTTTTAAGTATTATATATATAAATATATATAAATATATATATATATATATATATATATATATATATATATATATATATATATATATATATATATATATATATATATATATATATATATATATATATATATATATATATAGAAGTCTGAATTGCTGGCATTTTGTTAATATATTTAAAGAAAATATGATTTTGAAATACGCGCGCCATGAGTTGTGCTATTTGCTTAACGATCAGAGTTGACAGCTGTTCAAATTTTGACAGTGTGGCACCACTTTAAGATACTGAACGCACCGTTAACAGCAGTCATACAGTGCGTTTGCAGACTGCTAATCGCTCTCGTTCGGTAAATATATTAATCAAAATTTATTTTTATTTAGGAATTCCACACTTTTTGATAGTAAATAAAGTTCAGCTTGGTGCATTAGCTGAGTATCCAGCTAATAAGCTGTCTGTAGTGTAAAAAAAGCTCTTCTGAGTGTTTTTTTTTCAAGTTTACCAAAGCTATCGATAACTGACAGTATCAATTAAGCTTAACAGTGTGCAGTGTGCCCATTTTGCTTCACTGTACTATGGCATAGCAATCGCTGCTTTTTTGCCCATCCTCGAGTCGGTCACGCTTTCAGTATCATTTTGTCGGCTGTGAACTGTGAAGGAAATTTGTAGCGCCGCGCGCAGTGCATTTTTTTCTGGTAACCTTTTTTCTCCACTTTGTACTGTTTTTTCTTAATTTTTTTTGTTTTTTTGCAATCAAATACATGCAATATCTTTTCGTATGCGTTAATTCGTCAAAGGCAAGAGACATTTACGTGCAATCGAAGAAGAAAGCCTATCTAAAGTAACAACATAATATACATACACGCACACGTATGCAGACACATGCGTGTGCATGTACATACATATTGTACGTATGTATATATGTGTGTATATACTAGGGCCCACAATGGGTTTCTGCGTGACGTGAAGTGTATATAAAAAAGCTGAAAAAAAAAAAATTCGAAAAAAATGTTAATCGACGTAAAGAGAAAATGAGAAGAGAAAACACGCAGACATTGTGAAATATATACGCAAAACAAATATTGCACTTAATTTATGTTTTTTTTTTTGAGTAAATCGTATCATTCAAAAAAAACATGCGTAGCTATTGCATTTCATTCTAGTAAAACAAAATGCTTCAAAATTTTTTATTTTATTTACAATTTTTTTAATGTATTGCACACATCATTTAATACGTACATAGAAGTATGGATGTATATGTGTGCATGAGTGTGCGGCGAAAAGGCAACGAGTAACATAGCAGCATTTTTGAGTAACTGTAGCAGTTACTCGCTGTATTGTTTTTTTTTCACTGTTGTTGTTTGTTGGTGTACTAAACGAGCTATCAATGCGTATGAAACAAAATACAAAAAAAATATTGAAGTGCATTGAAAGTGCAGTAAAGTGATGTTTACAAAAAGAACAGTTTGAACATGTGTTTGTATGCATTAGTATACATAGCCATACAAAACAAACGAACTCTGTTATACAGTGCGCACAAAAAGTGTACGCCGCATTTAAAAAACAAATAAACTCAAGAAACTTTCGTTTCGCTTGTAAAATTTCAATAATATGTATACATACGTATATATAATGATTGTGCACATTTCTAGAGCAGTCAGCATAATTTTGCAGTGTACTGTAGCAATAGCAGCAGAGACGACAGCACCAAAGCAAAAATGGCAACGAGCCGCTGAAAACGTACGCGCGCATACATATACACGCACACTCATATGCATATATATAGAGGGAAGAAATACATAAACACAGACAGACACATTCACAACGTCCTCGTTCACTGAGGCCGTCGCCACTCGTTGTTAGCGTCGATGACGAATGCGTGTGAGTGAACGAAGCGTTTTTGTGTTTGTGTGCGTTGTGTATATGTATATACACATATATGGTGTGTATATGTGTTGGCTTTGCTAAGAGCCGCTGCGCTCCCCCTCGTTGTCAAGCCGACAACATGGTCGCTCTGCAGCGTTGTTGTTTTTTTTTTTCCTAATTCATGCTTTGGGGCTTTTGTATTCTTTTGCCGTTAGCATCAAATGTGTTCTTTTTTTAAGCAACAAACAACAACACTATTATAGTAAAAGAGTAAGCGGTAAAACAGCAAGCATATTACAGTAAGTTAATCGGAATATTTACAACATATTACACATACATATATGTACAAATGTATGTAAGTTCTTACATACATATATATTTTTGTTCTTTCACTTGAAATCCATTTTGCTGGCAACGTGGGTAAATCGAGTTGCCGTCTGTTTTTTCATTTCTTTCTCTCTCTTATATGTACATAAACTACCATTTTGCCCCTGCTACAAAACGTGAAAAAGAGGGGAAAAGAAAGGGCGAGCACTTGCAAGCTGCTGTAGCAGCAGCAAAAGGGATAACAACAACACAACAAAGCGTGTGCATACAGTCGCGTCCAGCTAAATTGTCCCATATGCGCGCGCTGCTAAGCTACAAGCTTCTTCAGTTACGCTGCAAAAAGTAGAACTGCATACGTGCCGGTGTATGTAATTTTTCTGCCGTTTCTTATCCGTCTCATTCGTCTACCTAAGTTAAATGAACCTTTTTACATGTCCTGCCTGTCCACTTCCGGTTCGTTCTTTCTCTTCGCGTATCTGTCCTTTAAATTGTAAGGCTGCCAGACTATTTTTCTAAAATTGCAACTGTAGCCGTTTTTGCGGTGGCAACCTTGTTTTGGTATTGCACTGTAGCGTAGCAGCTGTTCTGTCGATTGTGTTTTTGAATAAAAGCGATAAGATAAAAAATCATATTAGTGTGAAAACAATTTATTTATTCTATTGTACACAAAAACAATTACAATAATTGCGGGACACGAGAATATTCGAACGTCGCAAAATGTTGGCTTTTGCTATGCCAAAACATATTTTAACGTTTTTGGTTCTATATTCTCTGCAAACTGATCGATTCGATTTGTGCGCCGTAAAAGTTAACACGTTGTTTAATACAAACAATATTAACATATGCACGCGCGCCCGCTTTAATGACGCTGGATTTATTGCAATTTTTCCATTGAAGAAAAGGTGTGCATGTGCAGATCTTTCGGACTCTCTCTTGCCAACCAGGTAGTCACGCCGGCCTTCGTGCATGCTGCATTTTTCTCTTTGCCTCTTCGGTCGTCTGCGCCGTTACCATTGGTTGGCCAAGCAGCTGCTGATGTGGAGAGAGAGAGCACACAGACAGACAGAAATTGCTTTTGTGACAGCTGCCGCATTCTCCAGTTTTCGTTGCTGCTTAGCTTTGGATTACATATTGTCTCTCGCGCTCTCTTTTTTATTTATTTTTTTTTTTTACAATTTTTTGTTTGTCTCCCCACTTCCTGTGATGACGGGCCATTCGCCTCTGTGAGAGCAACGATCACCGAGCGCAACTTATACAAATACCTGTCTGGCTTACTCGCTGTTTATGTGGAGAGCGAACGAGGGAGAGACGAAGGGACCCTGGGGCTTCACCAGTTTAAAATGCAATAACATGTGCTCAAAAATAAAACTTCACTGTGTATACATCTGTATGTACGTATATATCAGCTGGATTGCCGGCCTTGCCACATGTCATTTCCTCTCTTCCGCAATTCGTATTGGTTTTGTGCTTTTTTTGTTGATTACGTCTGTTAATTCTGCAATCTGTGATTTCATTCATTTTGTCTCTATATTTTGTCCTTGATTTGCATAAACTGTTCTTTGTGTTCATCTCCCTGTTCCGTTTGCTTGGCTGAAATCTGCCGTTATCAGCAGCAGCAGCAGTTGAGCACACACACATATGAACGCATTTGCAATTTGAGCCACTTGATTACTGTTTAAAGCTCAATGATATGTAAGTTTTAGTCTTGCCTAGGGGGTAGTCTAGTTCCCTTTTATCATGTGTTACACATATATTAATATATTTATTAAACTCAATGAAAATAATAGGACAATAATTATGTTATTGCCTGATAAAACTATTATACGTGTTTTCATAAAAATTGTTAATAAATAACTGACAACTATAAATATAGTTATAGGGTATTTATACTTCGATATCATCTACTTACTACTTTTTGCTTTGACATTGCTTTTGTCATTTTTTCTTTCTTTTGCATTAGTTGCGATCTGTTGCTCTCGCTCTCACTCTTGCTTATGCGCGAGTTGGCCTGACTTTTGCTCTAGTCGTACATATGCGCCGTTGTCGTGTGACTTTCTTTTTTGTTTTGATTTTAGTCTTGTTTGCTTTCACCGTATTTGCGTATTACCGTGATTTACATATGTAGCTACATGCTCTGCTACTTCTTCAATCTGAACTTCTTTCGGTACTTTGAGTGTTCTGCTATTGATTCTAATTTGCTGCAGCTCGGCAGCCAGTAACAAAAACAGTTACAACACGCCCTTTCTACAGTGCTTCCAATTGTTTATATATGAGTTTTGGCTACATAACCATTTTGGCTATGTATTCGCTCTTAGTTCAGCTCCCTTATGTACTTGTACCGTTTTATGCGGCTGTCAATGTGTGTGTGCTTTTAAGAGCATTATACACACATACAACGGCAGTTTGCCTATTCGTTTATTCTCCCCTCCCCCACTAAGCAGCCTGCTGTGCTCCCTTTTGAAACGTCTACGCAGCTACGCATTTATTGTCCAGCACATTGCGATTCAGCGCTGCTGCTACTACTGGGTGGCTGAGGGGAGGTTTAGTGGTGGCTGCGTTGGCCTGTCCTCAATTTCGGCTTAACTGTGTCCACGCTCTGTGTACTTTTTTCCTTCCTTTTCCAACTTTTCTTCTTTTTCTTGTGTGGAGTGGAACATGCGCCGAACAGCTAACCCCCACTCGTTACAATTGCTTTTTTTCCTTTCCTTTGACTAAAGCTCGACAGCTTTGAAATGCTCTGCAGAGTTTATTGGGTTAAGGACATTATTATAATAATTCTTTAGAAAACTATTCAACTCTGTAATGAGTTTTAAAAACATGAAGAAGCCTTTTAGTATACATTAAGAAACAAATTTGTTGTTATAGAAATGATATAATATATAATATATATATTTTCGTCCGGATTGTAAAAATTCAGTTTTTCAATTTTACATATTTATTTATAAAACTCAGTAGAGAATTAAAAAAATGATTTTCTACAATCCGGGCGAGAAAATGCAGCTGCCTGAAAAGCAGGTGATATGTCATCCACTCATTAGCTGAGCTAGTTGGAAAATGCCAGCCCAATACCAAGAAAATGGTTTTCTTGGCGAGCGGTAAAATTTGTTAGAAATATATTTACTGTATATTAATGCAGCTTTAAAGGTTTATCTTGGATCTTTCAAAGAAATTTCAGTTAAACAATACTTAGATCTACTATTAAGGCAGTTCTATAGAGTGCTAAAGTATTTTTTGAATTATATAGATTTGAGAACATTTATGAAATAAATTTCTAGTAAATCTCTCTATACATCTTTAATTGGGATTTATTTTTAATCATATTCTATTGCGAAAAATAGTATCATAGGACATTTCGATTTAGCAAATATATAACTTAGATTTTATGTCTTATATCAATACACTTCTTTAGATATATTTCTAACAGTTCTAATCGATTTGATTAATTCCTCGTAAATCTCTTCACTCTCACCCAGTTTCCCAGCTAGAAAATATTTGCAGCTTGCTTTCCAAGTAAAAATCAGTTTGCAGCTTGTGTCCCACTGTTCCACCTTTCCAGATTTCCACCTTGCAAAGGCCAATGCAGAGTTAGAGAGTGAGAGAGCTTCCGAGAAGACAAAACATCTGCCCCTGAATCCAGAAAAGTCCGTCATAAAATTGGCACGCTTCCCGGTAGATCACTGATCGGTTCGAGTCGAGTGGGTGGTTGCTCTCTCCCTTTCCCTTGGCCAGGTAGCGCACGCGTCTGGCACGCGCACCTTGCGCCCGAATTGCTGTTCCTCGTCTCATTTCAGGTAGTTCGTAGAGCTCTCCGCCCACTGGGCGCAGATCCTTTTGACCTTTTAAATAGCTTTGACTCGTCCTTCCACACTTCAGTCGAGTTTCACTCGTGTCAAGTCTAACTTGTGCCTTACAAATTGTGATTCGCTTACAAATCTTATATATAAATCGTGTGTGATACATATATCCTTAAAAATGGATTTTAATTTTGATTCTGTGACACCTTCAACGACCATGTCGTCCTTTTATAACTTTAAAATGGCAAGGTATGTCGGTTCCTCTATATATCTCTAGTGTTGTTATCTTTCACAAAGATATAAACCTATTTATAGCAAGTTCGTATTTATATCTAAGCGTATTTTTGAGTCTTGGTTTTCGAAATTATTGCAAATTTTTTCAGCGGTCTTGACAACTCTACTTCAGTATTTTGGCTGATAAAGAGAATTTCTCCGATATATTTATGTATTTTATTATTCGTGAAAAACTTTTCTTTGTTCGTAAATATTTGAACTCACTCTGCATACGGCTCGCCGATGTTAATGTACTTAGGATAGGGTGACAGCTCTAGCTAATAGATTCCTATACGCTGTAAATCGCTGCCGTTAATTAAATGTAATATGCCTGCCGTTTAAACGACGCTCTTTAAGTAATTAGCATATATTCTAGTACAACTCGCTTGCACACATATGCATTCACACACACACATTAAATAAGAGAAAACAATGCAATGCATAATGCACGTCTCTTTGATCATATGTTAATTTCCTTACCAATTTCTCACCTCTCACTTCCAACAACTACAACAATATCAACTACAACAACCTTAGTAACAACAACTACACAGCTGAGCGCGCCAACAACAGCTACAAGGAAGAAAAAGAGGGAGAGAGTAAAATAAATCAGTCTACAAACAAGTGAAACGAAGAAGAAGAGATTAAACGCCCGCCAATATATTTGATACTAACAGATAGAAAGAAAGATACAAATTGATTAACTGTATACGGTGGCTGGATAGGAAGGAAACGAAAAGGCTTTAAACGCAACTATTTGCGCTCCAGTCTACGACGAGAGCCTCAAAAAGCTCTCGCCAGGCAAAAAACACAAACACTTATATACAGACCGAAACTCTCTCATATATACATACAAGTACAAACACTCCCGCACGCGCTCACTCACACAACAGCCAAAGCAGACGAGACAATTAGAGCAAAAATAAAGCAAAACAAAACAAAAAATAACAGCAGCTGGCAGCTGAGAGCGCTGAGCGCCAAACGACCAAAAAGAGGGAGAGAGTAAGAATACAAAATTCTCTGATCTCGTAGATCGAGATATACGTGCGAGAAAGCGAGAACAATCTTCAAGTCTTGTACAAATTAACGACGCACTGAGAGTATTTTGCAAAAAATACTCGTGCACACACACTCAGGATATGTACGGCAACAATAATCCGGGTAGTAACAATAATAACGGTGGTTATCCCCCATACGGTTACAACAAGTCGAGGTAAATTTTAACTTCAGTTTCTTCATCTTCAAGCATACCAACAACAACAACCACTACAAATTTCCCCAATATCCCAGCAAAAAAATATCCCAAACAACAAATTTCCCATTACACAGACACAAACTTACACACACACACACGTAAATACGTACTCAACTACTGTCAATTAACGTGCAAAAAGTTTTTTCTAGCGCGCACACAAACGAGCTCCCACTATTTGTTTTTTTTTGTCCCAGTATTTATTCTTAACAGTAAAAAAGATAGTCTTTTTCTTTTTGCTACTTTGCAGCTGATTGTAGACTTAGCGAAATACCTTCCTCCCCCATTTTTTTTTGCTAGGCTCAATTGATGATCTGGCAACCTCGCTGTATGCATTGGTATATATTGACAGAATGCCCCCCCTTTTTTTTTTAACACTATTTTTTGTGTCGTGATTTAAAAGAAACAGAAAAAAATCGAACTTAACCTATCAATATACTGAAATAACCCAATAACCCAACACACACACATGCACACATTTTCTTTATTTTTATCTACAAAAAATGAAAGAAAACCAAAGAAAAAAATTGTTATTGTTTTTTCAACAACAATGGAAACTCTTGAGTGTGCTACGACAAGAACAACAACAACAACTGCAAGCAAGCAACAACAATAACAACTAAAAGTATTATTTATCTGATTTGTACTAGATTGTACAGTCAGAAACGTAAATTAAGCACATAGAGCAGCTTAACCTAACCTCAAAAACAAATATCTATATGTAAAGCGTGTGTAGACTACAGCAAAAAACCAGTCTCGTACTCCTCAGGCAGAAGTTCAATGAATATATATAAATGTATACATAAACGACACGTAATACCCAATTATGATTTTAAGCTCATTTCGATCTAAACACGTCCATATTTAGAGTTTTTTTCTCTCATTGCATTCGATAACTTAACTCCCACCACCACCTCCATAAGTAAGCCTTCATCTTGGAAGCTGTTGCGCTCCATATTTTACGCTTTACGTAGCTCTTTCGTTTTGCGCTCTCTTTTTAGCATTTACAGTTACGTTTTACGTTAGTTCTTTGCGTCGTTTCATGCTCCCATTGATTTGCTCACATCTGCCATTTGCATATTACTTATATAGATATATATATACATGTATATATATGTAGATAAATATACTGACACGATTTTCTGCAGCGCTTCGCATCGCTAACGTCACGTAACCCAACATGTCACGTAACGCAACGCGTCGCGTCGCGTTCTGTTCGCCAGTGTCTTGCAACACAAATGTGATAAATAAAAAGCAATAAATATAAAGAAGAAGAAAGTCACCAAAAAGAGAAACAATACTCAAATTAACTTAACGTAACGTAACGTAAGGCAAGCTCTTCCACTCGAACGTAACTGTAACTGCATTTAAATAAAAAACCGAGATACGAAAACAAAATGGAGAATCACGCCATTTCGAGGTCCAACGGGATTTGAAAGCAGATTTCGTTGTATATATATATTTTTTCGACCACTGAGAGGATTAGCATAACGGCCTAACAACGTTTTCGTGGTGCGGCCTTTGCAACCTAAACAGCCTCACGATGTACCGGTAAATGTTTTATCTAAAAGAAAAAAAGTTAAAAACCAAACAATTGCAAATTTTTTTTGTAAATTTTTTTCTTTATTACATCGAAACATATTTAATAGCTTATTTAATTTTCACCACTTGCTTTACGTATTTTGCCTCACTGTAACGTCGCTCCACACTCAATGCATTTCACTCATAGCATAGGCTAAACTTAAGTTTAAGCATAAAACACAATCTCTCTCCCTTGACTGTTTTTTGCTGTACACACACTCAGAAATAGATATGCGCACATGGCGACGCTTCTGAGCCGAGTGCTTGTGTTCTTAGTTGACCTATTTTACTAGCCAATTGGGCCAGCAGCAGCAGCATCATATTTTTAGGTCCTTGAGCTGCATGATTCAACTTCCTTTTGATTGCCAAATGGCAAAGTTGCCAAATGCTAAAATGCATAATAAAAAGTGGTGCGCGGTTGCCGTACTTCATACTCCAAATGGCGTCATCCGTTTTTGTTCTTCGTGCCCTCAGATTTATTGCTACATGCGGCGGTCAAATGTAAACAAAAATCAACTGCGTTAGCGCAAGCGAGAGAGCATAGAAGCACTGCGTGCTCACATCTGTGTGTGTGTGTCACGTGCTCTCCCAAATATGTGTCAGGACCTTGACATATGCTCATAACAGTCGCAGTCGTCGCCTCCTCCACTGTTAAGTTTAAGTTATGTATTTGTAGCTATGTAAGTTAACAGTAAGCAGTGTAGCAGCAACAGTTGTTGTTGTTGTTATAAACACACACACCCACACACAGACACACACACACACACACACATAAATTCAGCCAGACATGGATTTCTCCTTATATATCCAATGCATAACAGACGATTTGCCTTTATTACCTTCTCACTCTTACGCACTGCAGCAGCAGTAGCGAATCTTAAATTGAAAGAAAATTTGAAAAAGAAAATAGTTATATAAACAGCAACAGCAAATTTGCCAGGCCTTGAGCCTCAACAACAACAACAGCAGCAGCATTAGCAGCATACATCAATGTCAACAGTCAACAATCAACAATCAACAATCAACAATCAACAACATCAACAATCAACATCAACAGCAGCAGAAGCTCATAATTAACAGCACAACAGCAGCAACTGTTAGTGAACAGTATAACAGCAAAAAAGCTGTAATTTAAGCTGTAACACAACAACAGCAGCTTTGTCAGCGTTGCCACATGCTGGCAGTTAGCAAAGTTTAAAATTTTTTTGGTATTTTTTTTCGTGTGCAAAAAAATTGTTTTTTTTTTTTTTTAAATGGTTAACATATTGACAAATAAAATAAAGGAACAAACACTATGACCATAACATACACACACACTATACACACACCTACCCGCAAAGACACAACAGCCCGCATCGATTAATCGATATATATATATGAATTAATATATGTATTTATCGATATATTTGCCAGTTGATTTAATTGTGTAGACATGATCTCTTTCCACAGCAGCCAAGCCACAGCAGCCTTAACAAGCGATCTCAACAGCAACAGCGAAAACAACGACAGATACAAACACTTCGATTGTATTTAGTGTGGTTGCTTTTCGCTCCACTTCATTATTATTACAATTATTATTACTATTATTATTATTGTTTGAAACAAAGAATATATAAATATATATACACATATATATATATAAGAAAACTGGTGTGATAATTCTCTGTGAAGTACCCAAACAACAAAATGTTCCTTAAACGAAGACGCCGTCAACGCCTGTAAGTAAAGACTCGACCTATTTACCTTACCCTAAAAACACAAAAACTAAATACAAAAAAAATTATTTAAAATAAAATAAAATATCATACATTGCTAAGTTGAAATAGAAACTAAAAACAAAAAAAAAAAAAAACAAAAAAAATACACTTCAATCAATTTTCATCACTAAACTGTCCTCGTGGGAAGTCTTCTAATTTTTTTACAATTTTTTTTAAACATTTTTTTCAAGTGCAGAAAGTTTTTTTTTGTTTTTAAATTTATTATTTCCCAGTGCTAAACAGAAATGTGTGTCCGCAGGGGTTTTTTTTGTCAGTGTAAAAAAAAATTTTTTTTTTTTAAATATATAAGTGTACGAAACATTTCCGCAGGGTATTTTTTTTCAGTGTAAAAAATTTGCGTCCGCATTGTCTAAAAGGGGTTTCCAAGTTTTTCAGTGCAAAAAGTACAAGTATTTTTTTCTACATTTTTTTAAGTGCATCAAAAGTATAAAATTTGTGTCCGCAATCAGTGTAAAAGTAAAAATAAAAAATGATGGTGTATTTTTTTTAATTTTTTTTTAAGTGCAAATATAAATATAAAAACTATATATTTTTCAAGTGCAATCTTTTTTTGAGGTGTCAAATAAAAAAAATTAAATTAAAATGTTCATTTTTTTTTTCTTAGCGTTTGCATTGCGCAGAGTTAGAACCAAAAAAATTTGAATTTCTAATTCTGCTGCCTCTCTATTTAGAAGCAATAAGTAATATTTGCTTTCTCTCTTTGCATTGAGCGCCGTAAAGGCTGCTACGAATTAAGAAAATTTCCCATATTTGTTAATGAATTTAGAGATCGATTAAGTCTAGCTTTACTTATGATTGTGACGCAGTGTGCGTAAGCTATTGGCATTGACAGAGCAGCTAACAGCATGTTAAATGCGGCTCTGTTAAGGCTAATAGCCGCGCTCATTGCTTCTAAATTAATTACGTTAAGCCACATTAAGTTAGTTTTTAAGCCAATTCAGTCATACATCAAAAATCATTTCACATATTTCGAAAACCAAATACCAAATTGCGCCTTAAATCAGTTTTAATTTAATAATCTTTTTTATTTATATTAATAATAAAAGGAAACCAAAATAAATATCAATATTTTGTGTGCTAATATTGTTATATTTTCTTCTCTTCATCACATCAATCAGCGGTGGACGTGTATTTGGCATGTCTCATTCACTGCCATCTGGAATGGTACGTATTTTCCTAGATTCTTCTGCTTCTTTTCTTATAGTAAATACAATAAATTTTTATATTTTATTTTGAACATAAAGTTCGAGATCAATCAAACTCAAATTTCATTGCATGAGCAATAAAAAAAAAACAATATTAAAAAAAAAATAAAAAAAAAAAACCAATTTACGATTTGCAATTTGCATTGATAATTGAATTTTTGTTGGTTTTCGTTTTTGTATGTTTATGCAAAATATATTTAAAAATTTATTCTAGTTGAATGTTATTGAGTTTGTCTCATTGAACGCTCCTGGGGCACACACGCTTTTAATCAGAATAATATTAAAAAAAAAAACAACAAATAATTAAAAAAAAAACAGTTCTTGTGGATGCTCTCAAAATATAGTTATATATTTATACGAATATTTTCACTTAAAGAAAACGTAAAATAATCAAACTTAATAAATATAACTTTAAATTTGATCATTTGATATTTGCATTTTGGTCAGCAAAACAAAATACAAAACTTAACAACAAAAAGTCACAACAACAGTAAACAACAGAATTAAACTTAAACAGCAACAACAATAACAGCCACACAACAGTAACATAATAGCAGCATTAGCTGTTAATTATATTTCAATAACAGCCTTGCGCTGCTAATAACATTTCAATAGCAGCCTTGCGCTGTTAATAAACTTCCCTACCTAATTCTTTTAAACACGCGCACACATACACACACACACTTTCTGTGCTGCTGCAGCCAATCAAGTGATACACAGGCATACACATGTACACCGAAATATCTGACACACACACACACACACACACACACACACACACACACACACACACACACACACACACACACACACACACACACACACACACATGCATATACAGCTGGCAATTCGTTCGTTTTGCTATTCATATTCTTTGAGAATTGCCTTTGTTTTCTGTTTCTCTTTTAATGCTTTATGCTCACAATTTGCAATACGTTTGCCCTAAAACAAAAGAAACAAATGCCACGCTGAATGCCGTTAACTACAGTTAGACACACATACACACATACACAGACACATACACACATACATACACACACGCATACACACACACATACACACATACACATATACACACATACACGCATACACACACATAACATACACGTAACCATAATCAAACTTGAACACAAAGCAGCAAAAGCTGTAAGAGCTGAGCGCTGTTAAAGGCTAACATGCGTCTGTTAAATAGCAACTGTTAAGTACGCACGTTACATTTTGAGCATTTTAAACATTTTCTATTCATGCAAAATCTTTAATTTTTCTGCAACTTAATTAAGCTTTAAAATAAAATAAACAATTTGTAGACAACTTTTGTGTGTTGTTGTTGATGCTGCTGAGAGAGAGCGAGAGGGAGAGAAAGTATGTATATCGATTACAGCGATAACAGTCGATATCTCAACCCACAAAACCCACAAAATGAAAGATACAGCGTACAGCGTTTTATGAGGCCTTCTCTCAACATTAGAATATCTTTGTATGGTTAATTTGATTACAGTCACGTTATGCGTTCTCACCACAGGACACAGAATTTACATTTCCAAGTTCCTCGTCGCGTCGCGGTTACAACGATTTCCCCGGGGGAAATGGCGGCAGCGCCAATTCCCTCGGCGGCAACATCTGCAACATGCCAATGGCCAGCAACAATTCGCTAAACAATCTGTGCGGCCTATCGATCGGCAGCGGCGGCAGCGATGATCTGATGAACGATCAACGCACAAGCAACACCAATTTGATAGTCAACTATTTGCCGCAGGATATGACTGATCGCGAGCTGTATGCCCTATTTAGAGCCATTGGACCCATCAACACGTGCAGAATCATGAGAGACTATAAGGTGAGTTCAGTTGTTGTGTATCGATTACAAATTAATCTTGGATAGAGCTGTTGTCAGACTCAATCTTTAACTGGAGAATAATCTGAATCTGAGCTCATTAGAGCTTTGTCAGCTCTGAGTTTGAAGTGAAACTTTATCAGCTTTTCCTGAGTTACATTCAAGTGATATTTTTGTACTTTCAATAGAGTTGTATATGCTTTCATCTTAAGGTACTGTAAGTAACTGAAGCTTTATCAGCTTTAAGCAAGCTCTACCATTAAGTGAAACTACCAAATTTAGCAGCAGAAAGCTTTTAATTATACCTTGTTTCTAATATAAATCTATTTCATTCGAATTCCTTTAGACTGGCTACAGTTTTGGTTATGCTTTCGTGGACTTCACATCGGAAATGGACTCGCAGCGTGCTATTAAAGTGCTCAATGGGATCACAGTGCGCAATAAGCGGCTCAAGGTAAAATATATATATGTATATATAGAACCAACCACAAAGAACTAGAGCTAGAAATTTTAGTTCAATTCACTCATTACTGATCAGTGATCTATTCAGTTTCTCAATTAGCTCAGTAATAAATGATCATAGACCATGTTGAACAGCTAAAGCCATCTCAGCTGATCCTCGCTATGATTTCATCCAACTGTCACATACAATTTACGATCTTTTTCTTGCACTTCGCAGGTTTCATATGCGCGTCCTGGTGGCGAATCGATCAAGGATACAAATTTGTATGTGACCAATCTGCCGCGCACGATAACCGACGATCAGCTGGATACGATCTTTGGCAAATACGGTTCCATAGTGCAGAAGAATATATTGCGTGATAAGCTAACTGGGCGGCCAAGGGGCGTGGCGTTTGTGCGGTAAGTAGCGAAAGAAATCGACCAATGTAAATCGATAACAATCGATAACAGCCACAAACAAGAATAATTATCGCATCCCATTAACCCTTTGCATTCTAATCATGTTTTTTGTTTTTTGTTTGTTTTTTTTTTCATATTCTTTCTCATTTGTCTCTTGTGTATATATATGTCGATATCTGCCATACATATATATGTATAGCTATAATAAACGCGAGGAGGCACAGGAGGCTATCTCAGCGCTGAACAACGTTATACCAGAGGGTGGCTCGCAGCCATTGTCTGTGCGCCTGGCCGAGGAGCATGGCAAGGCAAAGGCGGCGCATTTTATGTCACAGATGGGAATGGGACCGCCGCAGGCGCCGCCACCGCCACCACCACCACCACCGCATTTGGCGGCCGGCTTCAATAATATGGTTCACAGAGGTAGATCATTAAAATCACAACAGCGCTTCCAAAAAACGCATCCCTACTTTGATGCACAAAAGTTTATCTAAAACAAAACTGATCAAAAAACCAAAACAAAGAAAAAAAAGAAAATTTCAACAACATCTAATGAAAAAGCCCAAACAACAGACCAGTTTATACATACGAAAAGATCTTAAATATATATATATATATATTTATGTATATATAATAGAAATATATATATATATATGTATATATATATATAAATATTTTTTTATTTTGACAAACAACAACAACCAACCAATCAACCAACTCTAACCACGCCCCAAGGAGAAACACAAAACAAAAATAATAATAATAATAAAAAAACAACAACTTTAAGCATACTTAATTATAAATATAAATAATTTTTTAGTTCTTTTTTATTAGCAACGTATTTTCTATATAATAACAAACAAAATTTCTTGTTGCAATTTTTTTATGTTTTTTTTTTTAAATCTGATTTTCATGTAAATGAGACGGAAATCCAGAAAAGAAAAGAAAATGTTCGCTATATATATTATAATAATATATACATATATATATTAAAATATATATATACAATTATTTATCTATACATATGGTCAAAATACAAACGAATTGAATTGTATATTTGAACAAAAATTTTTTTTAAACACAAAAGAAAAAAAAAAACTAAAAAAAAACAACAAATAATATTTCAAAAATTAAAAAATAAATCTAATGCGTATTTTTAACTTAAAATTAACTTTAGAAAGTACTAACAAAAAAAAAAAACAACAAAAAAAAAAACAAACTGGAAAAACAAAAAAAAACATGCAGGAATTTTTTTTAAGCTTAAACAAAAAATATTTTTTTATTTTCGTTGTTTAGCTTTGCCAGTTTTAGTGCAGCCAAAAAAAAAAAACAAGAACCACTCAATACACACTCAAACACACACACACACACACACACAAATACAGATAAAAAGAAAATAATATTTAACAATAAATTGATATGAAACGAGCAGAGAAACGTGAAAAGCGAACCCAAGTGCCGTAGAAATTGTTCTAATCCATAAACAACGATCAACTCATGCATAACAGTAAATGAAACAAAAAGCAACAAATAGAGATATCGATAACAATCGTTCGTTAACAATATCGATTGCAGTTACATTTTTAGCACTGTTTTTGCGCTGCATTTAGGCTTAGAGCAAAATATAAAATATAATATTATATATATATATATATATATATATATATATATATCAACTTTTTTTATACATATACACATACACATACCAATATATATATATATATATATATATATAAATATATATATACGTAGAAAATGTGCTAAAAACAAACTTTTTTTTCGAGTGTATGTGTGCAAAAAGTATAAAAAAACGGACTGAACTGCATATAAAATAAAATAAGAAACTAAAAACTAAAGCAAAAACAAATATCCCACGGCAAATAACTAAAAAAAAAACAAAAAAAAATAAATCAAATTGAACGTGAATTTTTTTTTTGTGGAATAGGATAAAAGATAAATCAAAAGAACTAACCTATATAAAGAACTGAAAATTAATAAAAAATTAAAAAAAATATGCACATAAAAATAAAATATAAAAAGCGTTGCCCTGTTTGTTACATTGATCCATGCTACAACAACAACAACAACAAATAAAACACAATCGCATCATATTTATGATTTAATAAACAACAACAAATTATTCTCATAACATATATATATATAAAAGAAGTAAAGTAAATTTATATATAGATATACATATATATACCATATAACATATATTGACTATATATAAACGTATCTATATCTGAAGAATAGCGTTAAATTTTAAATTATTTAGTTTGTAGTGCGTTACAACAACAACAATAATAACAACAACAACAACAACAACAACAACTACACATCAAGCAACGCCGATCGACAGAAGCGAAAAAGCATATATAAATATATATTTATATATATACAATATATGCCTCTATATATATATATACATATATATATGCCTATGTATATATATACATATATATATATATACATACCTATGTATATATAGAAAGCCAAACGAGAAAAAAAAATAAAAAAGCAAACGCAAAACAAAAAGAAAACAAATTTTTTTTATTTTTTTTTTGTTGCTGTTCAGCAAACGAAAAAGCCAAATGAAAAACGCAAAAGCAAATGCAAATGCAAATTTTTTTTTTCCCCAACAGAACAACGGTAAACATGTGCGTGTGTGTGCCTGTTCTGTGTGCCTGTTGCGTGCGTGTGTGTTTGTGTATGTGTGTGCGCCTCTGTTTTTTTTTGTTCTTTTTCCCGTTCACACGTGCGTGTTTGCCGCAAATGAACGCCAGGGGGCGCGCTGCAGGTTTTCTGTTCACAGCTCAAATGAGAGAGAGAGAGAGAGAGAGAGACAGACAAAGACAGGGACTGTTTGACATGAAAGAGACGAAGCGTGTGGCGCATGGTAAGTATGCGTGCACTTACGTAGCCGATAACGGGGTGCGCTTACTTGAAAGCGTCATGCTATCGATCGTTGACGACATGTTATCGAACATAAATTTTTTGTATTTTTTTTCATGTGTCCAAAAAAGCAACAATGCTTAACAATTTTTTTACATTTTTTTTGCAAAAAAAAATAGTGAACCATATAATTTTTTTTGTTTTTTTTTTTTTTTTTTTGCATTCAAAGAAATGAAAGAAAAAAGTAAAGCCAGCCAACACCCCCTTATCGGTTCCGGCGCCAACAAACCGTTCCATAACTCTGACTATGAAACGAATAAAATAATATACAAAAACTAAAAAATGAAATAACATAATAGAAACTATATATGTTATTTTTTTCATATTTTTTTTTGCAAGTGTATCATGCATAAAATAATCATACCTTAAAAAGAAAAAACAAAGTTCTGTTCTTTTTTTGTTTTTTTTCTTAAGTGACAAAAGTGTGTGGAGGAGGCGGGGCTCTATTCTATATAAAACGGAAAAATAATAATAAATATATATATGTAATTTTTTTTTCTATATTTTTTTATAGTGGTAATAATGCATCTTCTAAGCGTTACAAATATGTATATATACATTTTCCTATATATTTTTTTCATATTTTTTTGTTGTGCCTGCTGTTTTAAGTGTTAAAAAAAGAAAAGAAAAATGACAAACTTCTGGAAAATCTGTTCATTAACTCATATTACCTATGCAGCTTTTAGCTAATTTTTTCTTTTTTTTTTTTACAAGGCGACAACATTTAAATTAAAAAAAAGGGCAGCAAGAATTTTTTTAATTTCAATTTTTTTTATGCTTCTCATGTTTTTTCAATTTATGTTTTTTTTTTTCTACTTTTTCTTTGTTGTTGTTTGATCAGTTAGATTAAGTCATTTATTTGGTTTTTATGTATTTTATTTTATTTGATAAATCTTGATATATTTGCGCTTAGTTTAGTTCTTATATTAGCCACTGATAATCGAGCATTTATTTAGTTTATTCTTATTAGTTAGTAATTCGAGTAGTTTTGCTATATATATACATACCTACATATGTGTCCCAATTTATTGCTGTTGCACTAACCGGGCGTGATCATGCCACGCCCATCTACCGTACCGAAAAACAATAACTAACCTATCCAGAATATTTTTTCTCTTTCTGCCATCCCATTGACTCTTCAACCTGCCTTTGATTTTTCTTTATTAAAAACAAGAGTTAAAAAAAATATGAAAAGAAAAACAAAATTATATATAAACATATATATATATATATATATATATTCGTGTATATATATATATTATATAAAAAACATAAAAGATAATACCTATAAAAAAAAGAAAAAAATAAAATAAGAAAATCAGCTGGCGCCACCAACAACAACAACAGTAAATGCAAGTTGAACAAATTTGTTTATTTTTTTTTTCATTTTTTTTTTATAGACGGAGCTATGGAAAAATTACGCTCATTATTCGATGCTATTTGCGATGCTATCTTTGGTCTCGATAGTAATTATTCCTTTTTATATTCTCTACTATGCCTAATGATAATCATAATCATAAAATCGAATTTAATTCTATATATTTTTTTTTTTTTTTTTGAGAGCACATAAGAATCGAGTCTAAATATATAATTTAAGTAGTCTAGCGACACATACATACATACACACATAAATACATACATACATACATACATAATACATACATAAATGCTGACAGACATACATACATATGCAGACATGCAGACAAACATACAGTTAGAGAGACATTTACCTAGACTGATAGCCAAAAACTGAGCGCAAGAAGCGCGCTGAAAAGCTGCATTTCCATTTCTCTGTTCGCTTCTCGCTTGGCTAGCGCTTTTAGCTGGTAAGTGAGGCGAAAAGCGAGACGCTTTAATATTATACAACTATATATATATCAATCTGTGCTTATCCACTTCTCTCTTATGCGTTTGCTTGCATGCTTTTCGCTTGGCAAGTGCTTAAGCCATGTAAGAAACTTTAAAGAAGCAACTATGTAAAATATAGCTTGTAAGTGAAACGAAAAGCTTCTAACAATGCCATATATGTATATAAGCCATATTTGCACGCTTCAAAGTGCAATTGCAACCTGCTTATTCGCTTCTCACTTGGCTTACCATTTAATCAAGCAACTTTGCGTATTCGCTGCTCTTTTGGCTACGAAGCGAGAAGCTTCAAGAAAGCAATTGCAAATCATTTGTTCGCTTGAAGAGTTGAACCACTTCTCTCAGCGCTTCTCGCGTTCAATTTGGCAGCAGTTAACACACACCCACACATACACCTTTACATCGGACATAATCGGACATTTGACTATATATATATACATATATTATGTATATCTATATATGCATATATATATATATATATATATATATATATATATATTATATATTCTTTTTCTATATCAAAGTGAGTTTCAAATTTTCGCCTCATGCTGCAAATTTGTCGAACAAAAAAAGGAAAAAATTTGTAAAAAAAATTTAAGAAAATCTATTCAAAGCGTGCCATGTTTATGCATTCTTTTATTTAGTTTGTCATCTCATCAATCTCTACTAGAACTGTAAACAAACATAATTCGTATAATTCGTGATTATTTGACTCTCTCTCTCAAAAAAAAATTAAAACAAAAATATATAAATTTAAAATATGCTTAAAATTGAAAAAAAGAAAAGAAAAATTGTAGAGCGTTATTTGAAAAAGTTCCAAATTGCATAAAGGCAACATATAAATATAATAATAATAATAATATATATATATATGCATATATATATATATATTTATTATATATATGATCTATATATATATATATAAATCAAAAGCAAACGTTTTGAAAGCAATGCGCAAATCCCTAAACGGAGAAATTCGCTTCTCTGCGAACATCCAATAAATAATATAGCTAATTAAAGTTTTTTGCTTGCGCTTAAAAATCCTAATAAGAAATATCTAATCAAATCGTTCCAGTTCAAAGAGATATATAAATATATATATATATATATGCAATATGTATTATATATATATTTGTGTTTTTTGGACATTTTTGTATAAACATTCCTTAATCCCAGTTCCTTCAATTTGCGCAGCTGCCAAGCTATAAATCTACATATATATATATATATATATATATATATATATATATATATATATATATATATATATATATATATATATATATATATATATATATATATATATATATAGCATTTTAATCAGCTTTTGATTTAGTTTGAACATCGCTGGCAGCTGTATCCTTTGCTCTAGAATTGTAATCCATCAAACACATAAGACAAGAAAAGTTCTCAATCATAAATCACGTATTGTATTTATCTTATATAGCTGATAGACATATATATATATATAAACTATATACCATATATATATATATATTTCTCTCTCTATATATATTAATGTTTATCTGAATTGTGTTTTTGCTTGCCGAGTTCTCTTTGCAAATCAATTTTTGTACACGTTACTCATTCGCATAGAAATTTCATCCATTGCCCAATTTTTGTGTCTGAATATTAATATTTTTTTTAGTTTTAACACACATTACAAAGATAAGAAACAAAAAAACGAAGTTAAAAAGAAACACAAAACAAAAGATAACAAAACATGGCACGTTCAATGAATGAATCAAGTTATAAATCGATAACTTTTCTTTGGCAACAATCAAGAAATAATCGATAAATCTCTCGTCCAGAGTTTTTTACGTCGTGTAACTTAAAAAAAGAACTTAAAAACAAAAACTCGCTCAAATTAAAACCCAAAAAAGTAACTAAATCTAATACAAAAGAAAAAAAGTAAATGCAACAAAACCCAAAAATACAAAAATAAACAAAACAAAAAACACACAAAAACTAAAACTAAAATTAATAAAATAGTTACACAGGCATTAGCTTAGTTTTTAAACAATGATTAAGTTATTTAAGTGAGGGCTTTTTTTGTCTAGCAGCACTTAAATTAAATTAAATTAAAATTAAAATCAAATTTTTAGCTTAGTCTTAAAATGAAAATTAAACTTTAATCAAATGCAACTTTTTCAAATAGACGCTTAAATATTTAGTTAATATGAAATGCAAGCAGAGAAAACATTTACTAATATACAAATTTTCTCTTTTTATTTTTTATTTTATTTTATTAAAAAAAAAAACAATTAAATAATTTAGGCGACAACTTTGCCGATTTGCTTGATGGACTGTACCGCAGGAAGTACCATTATCCCTACTTATAATTGACGCCGCAGCAGCAGCAGCAACTGCAACTCTATCAGCAGGCGTGCAGCTTCAACAACAACAACAGCAGCAACAACAACAGCAACAACACCAATGGCAACAACAGCAATCACAATCCCAGCAACATGTTACAGTATCATTCACATTACCAGCAGCAACAGCAACAGCAACAGCAACAACAACAGCAACCATTGTCACCACATGGCCCGCACAGCAGCAATAATGTTGCCAGCTACAGCAGCAACAATCACTATCAATACAACAGCAGCAACAATATGCCACGTTCGCAGCATAATTACAGCAATTTCAACCAGCAACATATGTCGCGCAGCAGCAGCTGCAGCAATAGCAGCAGTAATGGCCTAAGCCTCAGTCCGCACGGCAGCAACATGTTGCAATACAGCAATCAACAACAACAGCAGCACAGCAGCAACAGTCTGAGCTTTAGTCCGCAAAGCAACAACAGCAACAACAATAGTTTGGGCTTTAGTCCGCACAGCAGCAACAGCAACATCAACAGCAACAACAACAGCAACAACAACAGCAACAGCAACAACAATGGCTACAGTCAATTCCATAGTTTAAGCTTAACTGCGCACAGCAACGGTAGCAGCAGTCAAGTGCAACAGCAACAGCAAAGCAGCAACAATCGCATGCTAGCGCCACGGCAACAATTGCTGCAAGACTACAGCTGCAACATGGAACAACAGCAACAGAAGCTGCAAAAGCTGCTCAACAGCAACACTTTTTCAACAACAGGTGCTGCTGCTGCTGCCACGGCGAGTGCTACGACAGCTGCAACGGCAACAACTGCAACATCAACACCAACAGCAACAGTTGCTAATAGTGGCTATCTGTGGCGCACATAACCTCAAAAACACACACACGAAAATACTTAAAAAATGAAAGAAAACAGAAGAAACACAATATATATGCATTATATATATATATATAAAAAGTAGATCATCCATCTATATATTTATATATATATATGATTATATATATGTTCTCAACCTTAAGTTTAACATTTAAATTAATAATTTTTTTTCTGAACATTTTTGTTTATTTTTTTTTGTTTTTGTGTTTATGCTTAAATGTTCCTCATTTACTTTATGTTGTATTTTTTTTATTTTTGTGCTTTTTTTTCGGAGGATTTTTTTTTCATTTTATGTAAAATGTATATCAATATACAAATATATATATGTATATATATATATATATATCAATAATACTATATTATATAATTTAATATAGCGAAGAGAAGGTTTTTTTGTGCTTAACTTTAGGCAAAATAATAAATATATATATCTACACACACATACACACACATATATATATATATATATATATATATATATATATATATATATATATATACCTAAGGCAAATAAGCTCTATTTTTCTGTTTCTGTGTCTCTAAAGCAAAAACTGTCTTATATATACGAGTACCGGATTATATATATATATATGTGTATTTACATAGCTGAAGATCTGTTTACTATATATATATCTTTTTTTTCATAATTTATAAATCAATTTTTTTTATTATTATAATTACTATTATAATATAATATTTACACTTATATATAGTTATATAAAATGTTAGCATGCTCAAGTTTAGGCTGTTCTTACCAACTATTAAAGACGATGAAATGTGAGGGAGAGAGGGAGACGTAGACGAATATGAAGACGAAGACGAAGACGGAGACGGAGACGGAGAGAGAGAAAGAGCGGAAGGGCAGCTTACTGATGGGTTGGGCAGTGGCATATACATATTGAACTGTCCTCGGCCCAACAACAAAAATGTTCGACAGACAAAATTACTGAACTAATTTTTTTTCATAGTTTGTAAAGGAATTTTTTTCATAATTATAAAGATAATTTTTTTTTGAAATACATTTTTTTTTGTATGCGTTTAAACAGCTTGAGCATGTTACATACACTCACACTCACACACACACACACAAGTACTGACAAAAATTAATAATTAAAAACAAAAACAAAAGGAAAAACCTTAAATGAAACGAAAAGCACGTGATAAATGCCTAACAAAAGTGAGATGAAGAAAGCGAAAAGGAAACACAAGAAATGCGTTACACAAATGTTTGTGAGAAAACAGAAAAAGAAGCACGAAAATTTCTTTATGAAAGTGGGCGTGGTGCTGGGCAAATATTATCTCTATTTATATTTCGATTTGATTTAATTTTATAGCATTATTTTTTTTTAAGTTTGTATTTTGTTTTGAATTTTACGTGTATACAGACTACTTGCCACGCCCACGCATTATGTAATTGAAACATGAACTAAGTAAAAATATCTATTTATATCGATTGGATATATATATCTTTGGCTTACAGTTTTTAACGAAAATGTGAACAATCTTATTTTGTGAACCAAATTTCCGAAATACATACATATATATATATATAAACATATTTAAAGAACAGAAAAACAAGAAAAATTTTAAAAATTTTATTATTTTTTTTCTCTATTTTAATTTTGGATCAAAGAAATAAACAATTTGCAGCAACTTCGATTTTAATTTGTTTTATTTGAATATTATTTTTAAACTTTATTTAAAATAATAATCTTGAATTTAAGTAAGCTTAAACATTAAGAAGAAAATAGAAAAATGATTAAAATGTTGTTAAATAGTTGACAATGAATCATTTTCGCATACAGCTTGGTTGTGCTGAGTACTAAAAATTCTAAAAAAAAAAAAGATGAAAAATTCAAAATAAATAAGCAACAGCTAAAAGAAATCGAAATGCAAATATATATACAAAAATGCAATTTTTTTTATAAATATAAAAATAATCTTAATCTTAAATATAAAATAAAATAAAAAAAAATTAAAATGAAACCGCGAGAAGCGTGGGAAGAACAAACATAGCCAGACAAAATGTTGAGGCGAGAGAGAGGCAACTTGAGCCGCAAATAGATAAGTAAAGCGATAGCAAAGAGATAAGTTAAATGACAGCAAAAGCAGGCCACAAGACTTAAACATATGTAAGAAGCTTTAAACATGCAAGAGAAGCAGCAATAAAATAAGTAAAAACAAAACGATCACGTGGCGCGAAGCGAAGAGAGAAGTTAAGCGAAAACAGATCGAAGCTTCTAACCAAAGGTAAAGCGCCAAGCAAAGACCAACAAGAGAGAGAAGAAAGTGATGGCAAGTTAACAGAAAGAAGCAAGAAGCAAAGAGAGTAGTTCTCGCTGCTTTCTTTGCTTTTCAATGCTTTTCATTCTTTTTTGTGGAGCTTCTCGCGGCACTCAAACCTTACCTTAGCACATATGCCACACACACATACATAGCCGAAACAGTCACAGACAGTCGAGACATTCGATAACAGTCGATGTAGTTGCAAAATGAATACTCAACCAATTGTAGCCTTAGCTTGTAATCGAATATCGGATTAATCAATCTAGCACTTAGCGTCTCTCGTCTCGTAAATAATATTTAGTCAAAGCGTAAAGCTAATTTTTTTCCTTGTCCAATAAACGATTAACGATTAACGATTAACGATTAATCGATAGCCTAAAGACGTCTCATCAATTGTTCAAGTTAGAAGTTAAAAAACATAAACAAAAACGTATTTAACAAATTCTTTTATAAAGAAATTTAACATAAAAAAATGTGTGTTTTTTTTAAGAAATATGTTTTTTTTTTGAGCATGTGCAAGAATCGTGTATACCTATCTATACACACACATATATACAGACATAAACATTTTTTTTCGTAGAGCTGATAATGTTTTTTTTTCACATACTATATTTTATACGATAAATGGAAAGAACATATTTTTTTTGTTTGTTATTAAACATAAGCAGCCAAGCTAATTTTGTTGTATATTGTTTTTTTTTTATTGTGTGTGTGAAGAAATCGAAGCGCAATTAAAATAAAAGAAAATTATATATATATACTAATATATATATATATATATATATATATATATTGTATTTAAAGCGAACCTCACAACTAATTACACACATTTGAAATGTTGTTCAAGGAAAACATATATATACAACACACATTTTTTTTATATATATATATCAAAGTAAATGTTTAGTGTTAAAAGAAAAATTAATGCAAAAAAATATATGGAATCTTTTTATAAAGCATAACGAATCGAAAAATGCATACAAAAAATAAACATTTTTTTTTGAGTTTAGCATAAGTAAATGAAACCAAAACCACATTTTTTTTATATATATTAACGAAAATATTAAAAAATTAAAAACAATAAGAATGAAGGGAAATACCAAATATATATATATATATATATATATATATATATATATATATATATATATATATATATATATATATATATATATATATATATATATATATATATATATATATGTATACATATATATAAATACATTAACGAATCGAACCTCAAAACTGATTAGTAAAAAATAGTTTCTTACGTAAAAAAAAAGAATGAAAAAAAGCAAAGCAAAGAACAGTGCATTGAGCCAGGTTAACAATATAAATTGTTTTTTTTTTTTATTATTATAATTAACGTCGTGCATAGCAAATTAAAAAAAACAGATCGAAGACAAGAGGCGACTTATGGTATTACATATAGAAAAACAAAATATGAAATCGAAATGAAAATAAAAAAAAAATGAAAAAAAAAGACAAAAATAACAGCAATAGATAATAAACCGAATTGTTCTTCTGTTTCCTTTGGTCAACTCGATAAAGATTATTCATTTCGAATTTCTATTTAATGGCAAATGCCAAACGTTCCAACTTATATAGAAATCGTACCGAAAATAACAATTTTTTTTTTATATATACATACATATATACACATAGGAACATTACTTATATACGCATATATATACATATATATCTATATATTAAGTACATATATAGTACATATAAAGCAAACTATATACTAACATATTTTTTTTGGCTTAGAAATCGTAGTGCATGTGAAACGTAATTGAAAAAAAATCCAAAAAAAACAAAACCAAAAAAAAAAATAAAATTAATATTAAAATTAAATAAAGTTAAAGAAGAACCCGTCAAACTGCTGTCAAATGTTTGAGTGCGGAACGTGAACTGCCCTTTGAGAGATTTTTAAATACGATAAACAACAACATGAACAAGAAGAGAAGAAGAACAACAACAACAAATACACAAGTCAACTTCATAAGCAATATATATAAACTGCATAAATAAAGCAACAAAACAATTTCAAAAATGTATCCACTGAACGAAAACCGATAAAAAAGAAAACAAAAATTATATATGTAACTATATACCAATACGTATACAAATGTTAAGTGAGAACAAAATATTAAATTAATCGCGCGCATTTTTTTAAACCAAATCCGAATTAAAAGAAACAAAAACAAAAAAACAGATACGATACGATAATCTACACTACACACACACACACATAAAGACGTAAACTTGTAACGTTCGTAGTTCATATATATGAAAGTGAAGAGAACAACTTGAATTTTAATTCGTTTATACAAATATATATTATATAATATATAATATATGTAATACATGAATAGCAGCAGCTAATTGTTGTACTAAGACGTCACATTAAAACCAAGATAAGAAACAAATAAACGAAAATATTTAAAATTCAAAAGAAAACAAGTATTTTTATACAACAGATGGCGTCACTTGTTATGTTAATGCGGCAGGCAAATGCTGACTGATATGGCATTCGAACTGAGCTGGGAGCGTTAGTCATGTTATTAAGGCGGACGTAAGCTAATTGATATGACAGATACAGTCTTCTTGCTACGAGAGCTGTCTTACGTGCAGCTTGGCGCCTATTTGAATTTGAATTCGTTTATATAATTGTGTGTGTAGCTACTCACTTTACACAATATCTATGTATGTATGTTTCAAGATCATTTAATGGCGAGTGCACTGGCAATTAAAGTAGTTTATGCAATACATCACCATTGCAATGTGCCAACAATCGCCTGTGAGTGGTGCTTCCAGCAAGTGGCAGGCGCTCTTGATGTAGTATTCGTTACTGTAAAGTGCTTACAGATTAGACGTGCATGTATACTCTGCATGTGTATAAAGTATATATCATATCTTAACAATATCCGTACTAAGTAAATTCGCCAAATTAACAGGGCTTGCCTCACTTCCAAGCGTAGCAAAGCGTTCGATTGACGTTGCCTCGCCAGCTGCCACGCCCCTATCGTTAGGTGACATTCCCGTCTGATAGGCAATTGATTAGCTGATAGGCGGCACACGTTTTTCAATCAAACTCAATTAGAACTGTTCGTGTACTTCTTGTCATTAAATTTGTTATTGTCTTTAGCTGCTGTGCGGCATTTTCTTGTTGTGTCCCTTATCTGGCGCACAATTTGAGAATCATTAAAGTGCTTGCCATGAGGAAGTTCCTTGTAAAGGTCGTGATAGCCAAAGGCATGCCTCGCTTTGCTTTGCTTTGCTTTCATTTATTGCATAGCTAAAGCTAAGCTAAGCACAGCGTAAAGCTCATTCAGTTAGCTTCAAGCACAGGTTCATTGCAAAGCTCATGATAATGTTTGACAGAACATTTAAATGAAATACCGAAATTTGATTGAATTATTTAAGTCAATTTTTGACCTTAATTATATAGTCTACTCTAGGTAAGGGTATTTACACGTTGTTTTTGCTTGTCATGAGTTTTTGCTTTTTAATTTTCGTTAATCTTAGCGTTTCGCTAATGGGGAATTCCCATGCATATGTATTAGACCTTGATCGAAGTGGTCGTCGCTCTCTCGCTCACATTTCGATCTATATATAAGCTAATCTAGAGTCTAATGATGAGCTAAGTTATTTGTTTTGTGTTGTCGTCTGCCATTGGCTACATTTGCTTCTGCCTCTCTCTCTCTTGGTCTTTCTCTATCGTATCTACTTATTAATCTTATCAGAGATGTCGTCGATGCGTAGTTGCATTCGATAAGTGCAGGTGGATCATAAGCTGACTCAATCTATCTTTATCGCATCAGCTGATTGGGCTCAACCAGCATGGGCTAGTGCCAAGTGCCCATTGTTTACCCTTAAACGTACTTCAAATGACTTTATCCATCACTGGGCTTCTTTATTGCTATGTCGAGGAGGGTAGCCCCTCCTAGAGTTCAGTTCTTTGGAATAAGAGTTGTACTTTCCTAACGATTGTCTATCAAAAATCAAAAACAATTTCAGCCCGAAGTCGAAGTCGAGCCGTTTCTAAAGGAGCAGCTTGTTGAATCATAGCTGTCCACTTAGTTCCGATTATGCAAGCCCAGCACTGAGTACGACAGAGGGCCTTACGTCACGCCGCTGGAGGGCAATAAATATCTGCCTCGCACGCACTTGAAACGTCTTTTATTCATGCCCAGCCAAGTTATTATTGTTGTTAGAGCAACTGTAACCCTTTACCAGGCGAATGTAATTGTCCTTGAATTATTGTTCAATTGATGGCTTGCTGTGTTGGCTATTGTCCTGGGACAAGGGGCAAGCGGAGTCTATATTACAATAGTTATTCTCAATTGGCATTACTTGATTCGATTCTTGTACAGTCACTTGAGTCTAACTGTTTATACATTCGTTTTTATTGGGCGGCGCAGGGGTAGGGGGTATGGGCTTAGGGTTTTGCTGGCTTACGCGGGTAACTGTCATGGCGGCAAGGTCCGTTGGTCCGCTACATTCCCTCTAAACAACTTACCAGCTGTTGTCTAAGTGAGCTTGCCTCCCCGTCTCTGTCTATGGCTAATTGAAAACCATGTGTGATTACCCGATTAGGCCGTATATACCTATTATGTTTGAGGGTAACGTATTCCCAGCCAGCTAGCTTATCAGCTGTTATTTGTCCACTTTCCCAATCAACGTCAATTTGTGATTTCTTCGCATATATACACGCACATATATATATATATATATATATGTATATAGAGTATATTTATTTATTTGTTAACTTTTGTTTGTTTTATTGTTATTTGTTGTTGTTGTTGTTGTTTGCCATAGAAAATGCCGCATTCCATTTGGCTAAGGCTAAGTACTTAACACATCACAGATTGCATTGCCACGAGCTGGCCTCACTCACTTTTTCAGGAAGACCTCGTGCAGCTCGACGTCCTTCAGATTGTTAACGGCCGCCGCTGAGGCTCGCTGCGCCCGTCTGCCCCGTCGGCCCATGCGCCAGTGCTCCTCGATTTCGATGAGTGTGCGTCCGCGCGTCTCTGGCACGAAGCTGTAGATGAAGAGGGCGGCCACAAACGAGACGATCGCATAGAAGGCAAACAGATTCGATGTGCCGAGCAGCGCCTCCATATTCGGATAGATCTTCAGGCAGATGAAGGCCAAGATCATGCCGAAGAAGACCGAAATGCCGGACGCACTGCCACGCACGCTCTGCGGAAATACCTCCGATATCATGATGAAGGGCAGCGTCAGCATGCCCATCGTCGAGAACACAATGTGCGCCACAATGCAGACGACGGGCAGCCAGGACCAGGTGCCCACGGTGCTGGGACACCAGCCACCGGTGGCTAAGAAGAGCATACAAATGCCCATGCCCGAGGCTGAGAAGATGCCCGCCGGCCGTCTGCCCCACTTCTCGAAGATGCTGCTCATGAAGAAGGTGGTTATGATGCGTGCCACGCCCAGCATGACAGCCACCAGCACCGGGTCGATGGTCACGCCAGCTCTCTGAGCGATCTGCACCGCGTACACAATGATGACAACAACGCCGCAGGCCTGCTGGAAGCCAAAGAACCCAATCATCATAAGTAGCGGCTTGTAGACCTCTGGCCTGCGTATGGCCTGGCTAATGGATTCGCTGGCTGCCGTGTCCCGGCTATTGTCCGCCGTCATCTTCATTTGCGTCAGCTCCGCCTCGAACTCTGGCACGCAATCGTCATCTGAGTGGGTAAAGCATTAATACTTGAGTCACATTCAGCTGCTGGCATCGATCGAATTACCTCTGCGGTGCAGTCCGCGGAAATAGCGCAGCGATCGGCGCGCCAACTCGATGCGGCCCTTCTGCAGCAGCCAGCTAGGCGATTCCGGCATGGGCATCACCAGCAGCGTGGCGGCCAGCTGGTAGGCGCAGCTGATGCTCGCTATGAGCACCACGTTATGCCGTATGAAGTAGCCCAGCAGGTACATCAGCAGTATCCCCGATGCCAGCCCGATCGAGGTGCCCAAGATCAAGCGGCCTCGGATGCGCGGTAGGCTGATCTCGGCGGAGTAGACGCCCACCGGCGAGACAAACATGCCAATCATCATGCCGCCAAAGGCCCGACCCACCAGCATCTGAGCATAGACGAGATCCCGATTCGTGTGCAAAAAACTTGTCGCTAGCAACAGCCAGCCAATTAGGCCGATCACATTCGTCAGCAGAATCGTATATTTGCGTCCGATGCGATCTAGAAAGTAGCTAACCATCAGACCACCCAGCGGACAGGCCATGTTGTTGATGGAGGCTGGAGCAGAAGAAACCTTATCAAAAACTGTTTGGAGGCTGCTCGGAGAAACTACTTTGAGCCCAGCTGAAATCCTGTCTGTCGTCCAGCTAAAGGAAGTTGGCACTAAATAACTTCCGTTAGGTAAGATCTCAGCAACTGGTTGTTGACAAAACTCTAGATGCTGGTGCTTAGATAATTAAAAATGCGAGTGGCATGAGATCATTTGAGACGTGCAGGCCAAGCATTGAAAATACACGAACCGAAATGGGTTAAGGTCAACTAAGGTTAAATAGCGCAGACTGTGCTCTAACCAGATAAGACAATAACACCGTAAGACATAAGATAAGATAACGAAATAATTGGTTATTGATAAGCATAAGGAGCTGCAGTGGGTGAGTAAATATCAAGGGCTAAGCTCAACTCAACCCAAGCATGAGGCCAGCTCTAAAGATCTTGAGTGGGAATGGCAGATGGCCTTGAAGCGCCTGATACTAAATGGCAATGGCAGGTCATTTTAGTATTAGCAGAAGTCTAAATAATATTTGGAGTCTCATTTAAGTTCTTGTTAGAGAAACAGTAAGGGAATGGCAAAGGACGCTTAGGAAAACTCGCGGGAAACTCTTTTCATGCTGCGTATTTTGCCAAATTCTTTTGCTACTCAGGAATCTACAAAATTTGAAGTGTAAGAAATCTTTGAAATCTCCGTAGAAACTTAGTAATCCTGAGAATTTGAAGACATGTCAGACAAGACTGCAGTCAGTCAGATATCTTCGTTAATCTGGGAAATCTCAAACGGCTTTCATGGCTCTCAGAATGTTCTCTCACTGACTGGGTACTCACCAAACCAGCTGGCCTCGTCCTTGTTCAGCCAGAATGGTTGCGTCTCATCGCTCAGCTGGTTGAGCGTAACGCTTGGCATGCTGACAACCATGCCGGAGCCAAGAACGCCGCTGTTGCCCAGGAAGACCATAAGCTCCTGTCGCAGGACGGCCAAGTGGCGCTCGCCTAGAGGTAGGCTGCTCTCTTTACGCTTATGCGATTTGCTCTGTTTGCTGTTGCTCTGTTTGTCACTATCCTTAGTGCTGTCCTTGCTGTTGTTGTTGTTCTGTGTGGCGGTGGCTGCGGCTGCGGCCGCGGCTGCGGCTTGCAGGTTGCTTTTATCTAGATCCTTGCAGATGATGGCCATGCCGGCTTCATAGGGCGGCGGCATCAGCTGTTCCTGCTCCAGCGTCATCCTGTCGTTGTCGTTGTCGTTGCTGATATTTGCTATATCCTTTGCTTCGCTTTCCTTCGTGCTTAGCTGGACAACGTTGCCGCAACGTTGACTGTGGTTCGACTGTGGCTATGCTGTCTGATGCCAGTTGGCTTTGTAGTGCTCCCCGTGCTTAATGCTGTTTCTCTTGTTGTTGCTGGTGTTGTTGCTCTTAACTTGGCTGTTGTACACTTGTCTAATTGAAAACGACAAGTGGAAACTTCCGCGCATTTCAATCATATGGCGACTGGCAACGACTCAGTATCAATTTCATAACTCGCTGCGTGCCTCTCCATGACGAAAACAAAATAAATATATATTTATATATATGTAAAAAACCTTTGAGAACCTTTTTTTTGTCTAAATATATATATATAGTATAAACTGTTTTTTTATCTCTTTGCAAACGTAACTCCCACTTGACGTCGTTGCGTCTGCGGGCTTCCGAGCTTTGCGCCCAGTTCGATTTTTGTGTTTCGGTTCTGTTTTTCCTCTCTGTGTATTGTTTTTTTTTTTTTGTAGTGTTATCAGCTAATGACTGCTTAACTGATATGCGCGCGTGACACGACTTTAAAAAGCCATAGAAATTAAGCAAATACTTAAATAGTTTTCATTCTGGGGATTGGCAGCTGGAACAGAGAATCTGAATTTTATATTTAAAAAACAAAACAAAAAGGTTAGAAAATGTTGATTATTCTGATCAGCGAGAGAGAGAGAGGAAGTCAGTGAGATATTATATAAAACATATGTTAATTATTGTACGCGTAGTCTGTTTGGAATTTCAAAGTGTAAAAAGCGAATCGAATTGCATCCATTGATGTCACTTTAATGCCAGCGCTAATAGTTTGGTATGTGGGTTAACAACGACGCTAGCTTTCACGATCGTTAAAAACACATTACACAAAAAAAAATGGAAAAAAAAAAAACTAATTTGTTTAACTGCAATCAATACTTACTGATTTACTACTATTTTTATGAACAAATCTGTAAATGCATATATATTCTCTATACTGTAGAAGAGCTACAGAAGATCATGAACCCACAGGCTTATATAAAGCACTTACGACTCATTCTAGCAGTCATTATTAAAAAAGTTGTGTACAAAAATTCTATTAATTTTATGACTACAATCGCGATCAGTCGTTCGACCTGTAAAGACGTGAATTCGAACAGCCTTCGCTTAAGCTCTACTGCTGCAGAGTTCTAAAAATAGAACTTTGCGGTGCATTCTTCAACGCAACAGCAACAAAAACCGCACACGCAGCGTTTTCTTATCGCTTGCTTCCGCGTAACTCAATTGCTTTAATTGCAATTTACGAAATTTCGTCGCTTGGCGCGAGTGCGCCTGCACTCAAAAGCACAATCCGCGATGACATCTAATGTCAATAACCTCGCTACAGCTGTAAAGGTAAATGCAGAAATGCAAGCCCAGCTTAACGTTGTGATGGCAAATAGGCAAGCCTCCATCATGCCAATAAACTCAAAAATAGATATCGCCTCCGTGCAAGGCATCACTAACAACAAAAACACGAAACGTAAACAGCCAAATTCACCAAAAACCATCAAGAAAAGGCTCATCTTCGACGAACCAAGCACCAGCAATGCAGCATTAATATCAGAAAATCGATTTTCACTGCTCGTAGAAGAAGATGAAGACTACAGCGAATCACCTGTAGCTCCAGAAGCCCCAGTATTGACCGACCAGCAAACTACTCCGAAACCTCGTCCGCCCCCCATATGGTGTCCAAACATCAAGTCTGTGGCCCTACTTCAACAGATAATAGATAAAGTAATTGATGCTAAATCATACGTAATTAAGCCAAAGAAGAATAACATAGGTGTATTAACCCAATGCAGTGAGGACTATCGCAGAGTTATAGACCACTTTACTAAGCTGGAATTGGAGTTCCACTGCTACCAGCTTAAGGAGGACAAACCATATAGAGTCGTGTTCAAAGGGCTTCACTCCAGCACTGATACAACACTAATTAAAAAGGAATTGGAAACCAAAGGCCACACAATTACAAATGTGCACAACCCACTGAGCCGTATGGACAAAACACCGCTAAATATATTTTTTGTTGACGTGGCTCAGGCCCCCAACAACAAAGAAATTTTGGACATTCGAGTTGTCTGCAGGCAACGCTGCACAGTGGAACTGCCAAGAAGATACAACGACCTGACACAATGCCATCGCTGTCAAGAATTTGGACACACACAACGCTACTGCCACAAAGCTCCCAGATGTGTGCGTTGCGCCGGGAAACACGCATCCAAAGACTGCACCCGCGAAAAGGACCAGGCACCAACTTGTGTGCACTGTGAGTTACAGCACCCAGCCAACTATAAGGGCTGCCAAGTATACAAGCGGTTGCGCAAATTGCAATCCCCAGCACAAAAAAGGAGTCCCACACAAACACCGTCTACGGGTCCGAGTACTGCTTCCGAAATTACAAGGCCCCGGAGCATTACCCAAGCCACGAGCTTTGCAACGCCTATTAGTGGTGTTTCTTACGCACAGGCCGCTAGAGGTGGACCGTCAAATAAGAATACCACAAGTGACACTTTGTTCACTGAAATGCTTCAGCAACAACAACGTCAGTTTGACGCAATTAATGCCGAGCTCAAAGCGATGCGAGAAGTACAATCCCAACAAGCAACCATGCTAAACAGTTTAATGGCCATCATAACCAAGCTTGCCTACAAATAATGGCTTTACGTGTGGGTATCTGGAACGCCAATGGCCTGAGAAACAAGACTCAGGAACTGGCTGCGTTTCTCTCACAAGAAAACATAGATATAATGTTAATAACAGAAACTCATGAGTGCCCCACTACACAAATTTTCGGATACGAACACTATCAGGCTCATGGTGAAGGAGCAAACTGCTTTGGTGGATCCTCAATCCTCATACGAGCAACAATACCGCATACACCTTTACTGCCAATTTGCAACGCAACAATGCAGGTCTCAGCCATCACCCTGCCTACGTCTATTGGAGCGATCGAAGTTGCGTCAATTTATCTTCCGCCAAACACTGGTCTGTGTGATCATCACATGGAACAGGTTCTAGGCCAAAGGTTGAATAAGACCCTCATCGGCGGCGACTGGAATGGATGGCACCCATTTTGGGGAAGCAATAGTGCGAATCGTCGCGGAGAAGTCATATTTGAGGCGATTCAAAACTTACAATTCAGCATATTGGCGACTGGAGCCCCCACCCGTTACCCAATTAATGGACACAGGCCCTCGGCAATCGACTTCGCTGTCTACAAAGGCATCTGTGACCGGCAATTGACCATTGAAGAATCCTTGGACCTATCCTCTGACCACCTGCCACTAATAGTCACAATCCACGCGCAGCCACAGCCCTTGCCCATTAGGAAACAACTACTGCCAGCAGGATCAGATTTAGGAGTCTTTAGGCGCGAGCTCCATTACTCTTTGCACATAGAAATGGAACTTAACACTCCTGAAGACGTGGACTACGCAGCAAACAAACTGCAGGAAGAAATAGTCAAAGCTGCGCACCAAGCCGCCCCACCATCTTGCCAAACAAGACAACAGTCTCCGTACAACATCCCCCTCACCTTGGAGGCCCAACACCTACTAATACACAAAAGATGGGCCAGGAGACGCTGGTTAAGATTACGCACGCCTGATGCCAAATCCATGTACAACGAAGCCACGAGGCATCTTAAAGCTGCTCTCGCCCTGCTTCAAAAGAGGTGTATCAGCGATGCGCTGGTACGAGCTGAATCGCCCACTGACGCAGAGTTTCAATTATGGAAATTTACAAGAAAGCTCAAACGGCAGCCAATACGACGTCATCCCATTCGGAGCATTTCTGGTTCCTGGCACATTGGAGACGAAGCTCAAGCTGAGGCTTTTGCAAACCACCTTCAAGACCAATTCACGCCGGTGATTACCGCAGAGGCCTCAGAAATCGAAGCAACAGAAGACATCGTTCTCTCGCCCCTCCCAGCTGAAGACCAGATAACTGGATGTACAAAAGAAGAGGTTCTTGAACACATCAGAAGAGTGAAGGCAAAAAAATCCCCTGGATATGATCTAATAAACGGCAGAGTCCTTAGAGCACTGCCTGACTCCACCATAGACTACATAACTATGGTGTACAACGCCATGCTCCGCATCCGGCACTTTCCAGCCTGCTGGAAGCGCGCCGTGATTGTGATGATTCCTAAGCCTGGCAAACCCGTGGGAGAAATTGAGTCGTACAGACCAATTAGCCTGTTGCCAGTACTCTCCAAAATATTCGAAAGAATATTTCTGGAACGAGTACTGACACATCTGGGACGCCAGGAGGCCATTCCAAACCATCAGTTTGGCTTCAGGAGACAGCATGGAACACCGGAACAGGTTCACAGAGTTGTGCACCATATCCTTGGAGCCTTTGAAGAAAAGATGTACTGCTCTGCCGTCTTTTTAGACATCAAACAGGCGTTTGATCGAGTTTGGCACCTGGGACTGCTGCAGAAAGTGAGGACCACCCTTCCAGCCCCATTTTTCGCGTTGCTATCCTCATACCTTATTGGAAGAACCTTCCAAGTGTCAAGGGGGCAAACAGTATCCTTGACTAGACCAATTATGGCTGGAGTACCACAGGGTAGTGTTCTAGGCCCAACACTTTATACTTTATTCACAGGAGATATGCCAACTCCCGAGCCAAATATAGGAAGTACAGATGCAGTACTCATAGCGACCTATGCAGATGACACCGCCATCTTATCACGTCACGTATCTGCGCAAGAAGCTTCAGACTCACTACAAAAATATCTGGACTCTTTCGGACGCTGGGCAAAACGGTGGTGTATCACCATTAATGCACAAAAGTCTGTACATACTACCTTCGCCACTAGAAGAGGAGATTGCCCAAGCGTTGCATTGGGGCCCACTATTCCCAAAGCCTCAAAAGTAAAGTACCTTGGTATCACTCTTGACAGAAGGCTGACTTTTAAAGCGCACATAAGTCAAGTAACCTCAAAATGCAAAAGCAAGCTAAAAACCCTCGACTGGATGCTGAGAGCTTCAAGCAAGTTGTCTTACAGCAGCAAGGCCGCCATCTACAAGGCAATAGTTGTCCCAACCTTCGTATATGGTATCTCTCTATGGGGCTCCTCGGCGAAGACTACAAGGAACAAAATTCAGACCCTGCAGAATAAAGCACTACGCAGATGGACTGGAGCCAGCTGGTTTGTAAGAAACTCAGTCTTACATAGGGATTTAGCAATTCCCACAGTTGCTGAACTCATTGGGCGACACAGTTCAAGATACGCGGACAGACTTGCAGCGCATCCTAACCATCTCGCAAGCAACCTGGCTATAAACAACAAT